GAGCCATGACAAGTGCATGTAGTTGTGGTGAGATGGGCGAAATGCAAGGAAGTGATGGAGCTGCCGGTGCACACAAGGCACATGATAAAAATGTTATTAGGTGTTGTCCAAGAAACCAACCACCGTACTTCTCCACCTTTCTCAGCACCCAGCATCTCACGGAAGTTGCAGTGACTAAGACTATATAACAGTGTCAGTGACTATATATGAGGATGGTGACCCACAAGCAATGCTTGCCTGCATATAAGATTCGTTAAAACAGTGGTAGGTGCTTCCATGATAATACAGCACTATATTTTCAGAATTCTTAAGTGAAAGACAATTTTCAAAGTTGCACCATGCAAGCTTATACCAAGCATGTGCATTAATGGTCCACACTGACCTATCCCTTCTGCCTAAATGAATTGCTAATATAATGGCATGCAATGGATTAATTATATGCTGAAATATATCAATAGGTCCCAAATGTTGGCAAGATCATCATGTAGTGGCAAATGGCCTTTGGACACCCCTGCAGCATGGGTGCTTGCGTTTCTTTCAGTTTGACGGCGTCAGTACCTTGTCATATTCAAACGCAAGCCTAAAGATAGAGGTAGGTATTAAACAATAACATTTTATTGGGAGTCAATATATTTAAAGAATACCAAAACAATGGTCTCTCTTAGAAGTATGAACCTTGCACGCACACTCCCCATCACATCAAGGTCAAAACAAGCCACTGCCACACACCTCCAGTGATCACACACATTTCAAACGCCTGATTTATACTCTAATGTCAATGAAGTCTAATCCCACACTTGCACAACCCGCGGGACTATCAAATTGCTGATTTTCTCGCAATATCCGCGCAGGTTTTCGGTTGTAACACCGTGTTACGCCGTGAGTTCCCTTCAAAACAAAGTCTCAACAGGGGCTCATGGCTGTATAAGAGGCATCAAGAGGTTGCACTTGAAGGGCGCAATTCTTTTGTTCCAGATTTAAACTTGTCCCACAAGATGTGACGAATATTTAGCCATATATATACATATATATATATATATATATATATATATATATATATATATAAGGTCATATATATATATATATATATATATATATATACCATTACTGCAATATTTCCCAAAATTTGATATGCCTGGCTGACCCATAAACCCGTACAAGGCTCTTTGCTTCGGTGCACAAGGCGCTAAACGAGCTGTCTGTAAGGAATACGTCAGTAGAAGAAAAAACGTCAGCACGAGAAAAACGCGGATTTGTCGTCGCGTCTTGTTTGCTTTGTAACATTTGGGAGAGTGCCGTTTTTCGGGTCTGTACTTTCTTTGCGAACAGTGGCATTCTCTTTTTATAACATTGAACCAGGGCCTAGAACTAAGGAAAAATGCCCCGTTTGCGACGAGTGTCGCACAACCTCAAAGTGCTCACGTTTACGTTCGCGACACGCATTCAGCAGCGAAATCTTTCTAACAGTCAATCACCTTCCGCGGATTGCATCACACGTGCCACATCATCGCTCTTGCAAATGTATCAGCGGCCATGCTGTTTTGACCATGAGCAGAAAACCGCCTATAATATAACAGCAATCTTATGGCGTTTCTATGACGACATGAATGCCAAGGTGATTTTAAAGTAGTCTCCCCAAAAAACTTTTCACACTTTTTCGGGAGTACAACTCGGGGACAGAGGATTTTGGGTCTTAAAAAGGGCATGGCCGTGAACTGCATCAAAAGCTCCTCAACACGTCTATTTCAGTTCAAAACCCTATGTAAAGGTGGAACGTTGCCTTTAAGGACAGCAGACACAACAGTTTGAACAGATCAGATCTTGATTTTGATCAGGTCTTGAGTTTGGTCTCTTTTTGGTTTGGTTTGGTCTTTTTTATCAGATCTTGATTTTGATCAACATATCTTGAGTTTGGTACTCTAATACGAATATGACACCGCAGCTGTTGTGGCGCATTCGAATGTTGTGAAAAAAAGAGTAAAACTGTTGATTTCCAATGGCTTTGTCGGATGAAATATGTCTGCACTTTCCTAGAACTGTATATCATCTGTGTCCATGCACACCGTAATGAGCTAAGAAGACTTCCCATGGCTTGAAATATTCAGATTTCTTTACGCTTTGCTAGCGCAAAGTCATAAGTGGATGCAGGTTATTTAAAAAGACCAAGCCTTTGTCTTGCCCAGATGAGGATCAAAGCGTGAAATACCTGTACCTTTTATTTGTCCGCTGTTTCAAATTCAACATCTTCCTTTTGACTTGTACCCAGAAACTGGCACCACAGCACCTAATAAGATGACGCTGAGATGACATGCTATAGGAGCATTTTATACACATGCGTGAAATCGCGAAATACTGACCAAATCTAGATTACCCTTCATCTAACGCTTGCGGGTGAACGCCGTGTTAGATCTGTCGAACAGCCGGCATTTGCTGGTGAGATCACTAGCTGGCTAGGGCGGGCCGGGATACTGAGGGCATTTTGCAAGAAAGTGACCTTTCTGAACCGTACCCACCGTCTTACAGTCGGAGCCAGGCGGACCTCTGCGGCTGGAGAATGCGGACATCACATACCGTGTACCCTGACAGGGTGTCAGGCCGTGTGACACGTGTACCCTGACAGGGTGTCAGGCCGTGTGACACCGCTCAAAAGAGCTCAGAGCCCTTCCGCCCGTTCGGTCGAGAGTTACGTGTAGCCCGAACACTACACGGCTTAGGGTTCGGGCTCAAGTAAATATACTTTCACACGATAGCCTTCCTATTGAATACGGACACCAATGAAAAGCAAATTTGCAGTCGCCAACAGGGCCAGAAGTAGTTGAGAACCGACCGCATCGTTATCTTCAATATTTTGTTGACCTTTCATTCATTGACCATTTTATCATACGTTAACGGAGCATTGCTGCGCAGTCGAAATTTATCGCATCATCGCGTAGCTCTTTGTCCATCCGCCGTTGTTCGTGCGGTGGCTAACGCATCACAATAGGGGATATCCACATGCCATGACACACCGCGACCACAAACGACGGCGTTAGCGGGCGTGAGCCGGCGACCGCAGCCGTGCCAGTGAGTGCTCATGCCATGCCGTGCTATGCTCCATCTTCTCAAGAGCAGGAAAACTTGCAAAAGTGCCGGCCACTGTTTAATGGCAACATATTCATGCATCATCACGCTCGGCTCTGCCTGCCATTGCGCTACGTTTTCCGAACACAGTGACATCTAGGTGTCTACCCTGCCCGGAAGTGATGAACACGACAGGGGAAGCTTTGGAGCGCGTACGGCCGCCACGGAGCGGGATGTGAGGCCAGTGTGTCGTGTGCACGGCAGATGGCGGTCGGCCTTAATGGGATTACGAGCCAATCCAATACCCAAGGATAGCCTGCTAAGGGCTCACGCACAGTCAGCTTTTTCATGGCAGCACAAAGTGCAAGCAATTCGCCATACCCTCACAGCTCGCGTAACTGGCGTGTTTTCCTGCCTGTATTTAGCATCCATATCTGGTTAAAAGTTGTGAAGAACTGATCAAGTGCTTCATCGGATTCCTCCATGTGATGCTTGTGGGCACTCTTAGGCCACGCCATGGTGGTGTGGTTAAAATATCACGGGCAACGAGTCGTATTTGCATAATTGTTTCGAACATTCTTCAAGATCTCCAACAGCCTTTCAGTATCAGTAGCAACATAACGGGCCTCCGACATCGGCCGCCTGTCTGTAAATCATCGGCTGGTGCTCGCTTCCACCACGGTGCCGCTCCGACGCCGACCTGAAGGTGACAAGGTCTAGCACGTCAGCCTGCTGCCCATCCCAGCGAACCAATCAACCTGTTTCCTTCTGTTTCCTTCTAACCTGTTTCCCCCTGCTTCCAACCTGAACATGTTACTGTGCGTGGTCCGTGCCGCCGTCCCCGCCCCTTTGGAAGCGGCGTTGGGTCGGGCCGGCTCACGTGGAATCGGTGGACCGGCGGCCGGTTGTGGTCGGGTCGCCTGGCTGGACGGGGGCGCCCACTGCAGAGGGCGTTGCGTCAAGTGGGGCAGCGCCGCCGGAGGCAGCGTGACGGCCAACCGCGTCGCTCTCCCACGGCAGAATAAAAGGCCGGCCGCACAGACACCAGGCACCAGTCACTCGCCAGCAGTGGTGACCATCTCACAACGCCACGGCTAACATGAAGCTGGTGAGTGCGGCCAGGGAGATCGGTGCTTCATATGTGGGCTGCCTTTCGTATTCCAGCGGCGTCTGTATTGTCAGTTAGGGCGTTAGTATACGCCTAGCAAAGATAGGCCCATTGGCCAGCGTCCGTTTCTTTACGCGGCCGGCTTAGTCGAATAATCTTTAGTCCTAGTGTCGTTGCGTTTTTTTTTATCATTCTGATCAGTCTTGGCGGACGGGTATGGAGTCATTTTGGCGAACGACAGGGCTACCACGACCAGCTACAATTTTTCAGCGTGAATAATAAGCGCGTGCTTTGAAACCCAGCACCTTGGCATGATGTCCCAAAGGCCAAAAGAGATCAAGCTAGACGTGCGGACGTCAGGCTACAATTTCAGCGGTCCCTGAATCAGCGTAAAACGTCATGTCGTCAGTCAATGCGCTGTCAGATGCTACACACATTCCACAGCTATCCCTTAATCCCTGCATCCACGGGTGGAGATCGATGACAAAAGCTGACCTGACAAAGGTGCTAAATTGCATCTTATCATGGTAAAATAATGCGTCGCAATCTCAACCCTTGCCAGCACCGCCGGGTAGGCACCCCCTCTGACGTCAGCTGGGTGTGTTTCCAGCTAATCGTAGCTTCGCTGGCGGCTCTGGCCTGCGCTGATGGCCCGCGGCCGCAGCCGGCACCCGCCTCCTACCAGCGGCCAGCGGCCCCGGCACCAGCCTCCTACCAGCAGCCGGCGGCACCGGCCTCCTACCAGCAGCCGGCCGGCTACGGCCAGCCCTTCGCCATCCTCAGCGAGGAGAATGTCCACCCGGGCGACGGCACCTACCAGTTCAGCTTCCAGACCGAGAACGGCATCTCACGTAACGAGAACGGCAGCCCCAAGGCCGGCTACGGCAAATCCGAGTACGGCCAGCCCACCGGCGGCTACGTCCAGCAGGGCGGCTGGAGCTACAGCGACGGCTACGGCAACCCCATCAAGGTGACGTTTGTTGCCGACGAGAACGGCTACCAGCCGTCCAGTGACATTCTGCCGACGCCGGTGCCGACCGAGTACCCGCTGCCGATCGTGCCACAGGTGTATCAGGGCGAGCAGAGCTATGGCTCTGCCCCAGCACCCGCCCTCGCCCGCTACAGCGCCCCGGCTCCTGCTGCCCGGCAGTACAACGTTCCTGCTCCTGCGGGTCCTGCTCCTGCTCCCCGGCAGTACAACGCTCCTGCTCCTGCTACCAAGCAGTACAGCGCTCCCGCTCCTGCGGCTCCTGCTCCTGCTCCTTGGCAGTACAACGCTCCCGCTCCTGTTCCTGCTCCCAGGCAGTACAGCGCTCCCGCTCCTGCCCCCAGACAGTATAATGTTCCTGCTTCGGCACCTGATCGTTACGGTGCTCCTGCCCCCGCCCGCAACTACTAAGATGGATGGACAACGAGCGCTAGGAATAGCGCAGACGGGTGTGCGAGGCTGTGAAGCTGCATGAGTGATGTATTTATGCGTCTGTACTGCTAAGAAATACAGGCCGATGCAAAATAGACTGCTTTCATAGCACCTTATCACCATTTGTGGCTGAGACAAACCATGCCAACGATGTAAATGGCCAGCGAAATGATGGACCGACGAGGCAACCTTTCAACTGAATAGTTCACATCCCCACCAGATCGCTGACCTGGCTGCCAGGAACCCGACCCACAACACACGTCGCATGACATAGTTCAGAGTGCCGTGAAACGTCCCTGATCTTTTGAAAGGTAGTGCTTAAACCCTCGTTTTGGAAGCGCTGCTTAATTTGATTGTATTCTTGTGAAGAGAATATCCGCTTTAACTGAAAGCTTTCGCATCCAGGTATTGTCCATACACTTGCGCAAAAAGCTTATTTTAGAACGAGCGTCTGAGCAACACTGCAGGGCCCGAGTGTTGCTCAGACGTTCCAGCACCGAGTTCAAGCACGCAGTGCCATAATGTGTTGTAGTCGCGGTCTCGTCCTGTCCAAGCCTTTTTCACGGGATAATGTATGGACAGGGCACAGGAGGCATGGACCACCCGCCAAAGACAAAGAGGAAGCTTGGAGCCCCCGCAGTGGTCACCACAAATTTGTAAGTGTAGGTAAAGGACAGAATAAATGTGACCGCATGTATGCCAGTGTTCGTGACAATGAGCGAGATCAAGTCAACCTGTGAAGTTGTATGTGCCAGAGCGTGGTCACTGCAGCGGCTGGACCACACAGAACTGACGCCCCGCGTGCCGGCGCCGTTGTCCGTCGCGCTTTTGTCCGCGTGCCTGCGCCGTTGTCCGCCACGCTCTTGCCCGCGTGCCTGCGCCGTTGTCCGTCGTGCTCCTGTCCGCGTGCCTGCGCCGTTGTCCGTCGCGCTCTTGTCCGCGTGCCTGCGCCGTTGTCCGTCTTGCTCCTGTCCGCGTGCCTGCGCCGTTGCCCATCATGTTATTGGCTACGTGCCCCATACCGGCAGTCTTCCACGCTCACCCGTCGCTACGGCCGACCAACCGTACGTTCAGCCCCCTTTGCGGTATGCTGTACCGCTAAGCAGCGCTCCTCGTCCGTGCCCCTGCGCCAAGCCGGGGACAGAGGATACCCCAGCATTTCCACGGATCCCCTTAGCTATTATTATCGAGGAAAGCAGCGTTTCTATCCAAATAGTGAGTTATAATTCAACCAACGTCCCACACAAACTAAAATCCTATCCAGACTGCTGGTAGTTGCCGAGGCAGATATGCTTCGAGCACGACTATGGCGCGGTGACAAGCGGAGTAACCCGCAGGTAACCTGCGCTCTAATTCAAACGTCTCAGATGCAGGAACTGTCTGTATAACGGCATAAAAAGTTTACTTTAGCATTCACTCAGCAGGCCAAGTGAAAGCGGCTCCGGTTTATAATTAACTACGGTGGGAGGATTCTTGAGTGGGACAAAAACTACCTCCGCACTTGGCGGGGAGGGGCTTTGAAACATCCCGATGACATGACCGATCCCAAATATTGATTCACCTAACCAACCCTGAAATTTGGACCTCCACTAAACTTATGCCAATTCCACTTCACGGTCGGACGAAAAGCCCCAAAACATGTAGCGAAATGGATGCGATGTGATAAGGCTAGAGCGGAGCTAGAACACTTGGGAGTGAGTGGGGGCGTGAGGGAGAATGTGGTGTGATGGGTGGGAGGTGGGCGGCATCTGATTATTTGAAGAGGTAAGTTGTGCGCGGAAGATAGCGTTGAAACGGAGTGTGTGCTGCACAACGATGCTTTTGTGCAAGATTTTCCATGTCTTCTTTCAGTGCTTCTTAGGGGGCTCTTTGTCCTTGCGAGAAGATTGGAGGGGACACACAGTTCTGTGACGCTTTGCTTTACTGTATACTGCCTTTGCAACAGTCTGCAAATTTTTCAACATCTCAAAATCATTATATGTGAGCGCTTGTACGGAGACCACCGAAGATGGTTTTAGGGTGTTAGTCTGCTTTGTTGAAACCAAATATTACTAAGACTTGCCACAACAAGGTATCTTCCAACGGCGGCAAGATAGGATTTAAGGTGTCGCTTTTCTCCAGCTCTTTAGTACATCAGAATGGAATTCAATAACGTTAACACCACGCGCCCGAAGCATTATAACTGGTGCCGTGGTCAATGGCACAGGTCACATGTGCCATCTTGCATTTGCACAACCGAGGTACATAGCAATGCAGACGGCCGTGGCGCCTGTAAACTTTCGTGGGACGATTGAACCACTAGCTCAAGATGCGTAGAAAATGCACAGAGAGGGGAGTTGGTGTTCTCTTTTCCATGCAATATTCTAGTCAAATTAATCCGCGAGTATACGGGAGTATGCCCATTTGAGCCAAAACCAACTCCAGCGCTCCAGCAGGTATACACGCATGGGTGAGCTGACATGGATCACCCCTGGTGGCAATAGATATCATCCTCCCCAAAATTTAGCCATTTTCGTTAACATATGAAAAAAATGTCGACAGCAGGTCTAAGAAATCCTAGATTTAGCAGACTTAAGTATTTTGTAAATTGAAAAGGTTATCCCCATGGGACAATATAAGAGCAGGGCAAAGGGGGCATGTGCCACCAGCCCAAAGACAAAGGGGAAGCTTGTAATCCCGCGCAGTGGTCACCACAAATTTGTAGGTGCAGGTACAGGAAGGAGTAACTGTGACCACACGTATGCAGATGTTCGTGACAATCACGGAAGTCAAGTTAATCTATGAAGTTGTACGTGCCAGTGCCCGACTACTGCAGCGGCTGGACCCCATCGGACTGGCGCTCCGCGTGCCTGTGCCATCATCCGCCTTGCTCTTGTCCGTGTGCCTGCGCCATTGTCCGTCTTGCTCTTGTCCGCGTGCCTGCGCCGTTGTCCGTCGTGTTATTGGCCATGTGCCCCATGCCGGCGCTCTTCCACGCTCACTCGTCGTCACGGCCGACGAGGCGCACGTTCAGCCCTCCGTGCCATATGCTGTACCGCTAAGCAGCGCTCCTTGCTCGTGCTCCTGGGCCAAGCCAGCAACAGCAGACACCCCAGCGTTCCCCGGATCCCCTATTACCATAAAGGAAAACACCTTTTCCATCCTGATGGCGGATTCTAACTCAATCAATGTCCCTCACCAACTAAGATTCTACCGAACCTGGCAGCAGTTGCCAAGGCAGATATGCTTCGAGCAAGATTACGGCGCAGCGGCAAGCAGGGCAACCTGCACTGGCCAGCCAATCAACAGTGGCATCGCAACTTCACGCTAGTTTAATCTTCGATAATACGAATAGTCTTACTAGTATTGAAATCCTGCAGGGTGAAAATAAAGTATATGTTAAGTATACATGTTCATATGTATACAAACATGTATACACGCGCACACACACACACACACACACACACACAGACACACACACACACACACACACACACACACACACACACACATATATATATATATATATATATATATATATATATATATATATATATACATAAATATATATATATATATATATATATATATATATATATATATATATATATATATATGTATGTATGTATGTATGTATATATTACGCTTTGGGGAACACTGCCCAGACAATTAATTGAAGACGTTTGTTTCGCGTGCCAAAGCATGCACTGAGAACAGCGTGTCCCAATGGGAAACGTAGTCGCGATTCTAATTAAATGAGAACGACGGATTATCATATCAACATCCGTCAGTTTCCCCAAAATGCATGTATATATATATATATATATATATATATATATATATGTATACATGTATATATATATATATATACATATGTATACATGTATTTTGGGGAAACTGACGGATGTTGATATGATAATCCGTCGTTCTCATTTAATTAGAATCGCGACTACGTTTACAATTGGGACATGCTGTTCTCAGTGCATGCTTTGGCACGTGAAACAAACGTCTCCAATTAATTGTCTGGGCAGTGTTCCCCAAAGCGTCAAAAACGTCACGATTACTCCCCTGTTACGACTGTATAGTAAGACATACTGTTTCTGCACTCCTGTTTTGCCTCAAAAGCGTTAAATGTGATGGAAAAACATAACGACCCGATTTTTTATGAAACAACACGAAGGTTATGATATTTACATATATACATATTATATATATATATATATATATATATATATGTGTGTATATATATATATATGCATATGTTTATATACATCTATCATATATGTAAATTCATATGTAGCGTCTTTCGGTGTTCACATGTAAGTACCATGGCCTTGTACCCAGTGCGGGGCCACCGCGAGAAGTACTTTTATCTTTAAGAAGGTTGGGTTTTTGTTGTGGAAGAGAGCTATAGCTAGTTAGAATGCGACCCTGATAGAGTGTGTGATTTACATTGCCTAGATAAGGAGTTATGCGTTGTAATTCTGCATTCGTACTGTAATAACACGGAATATTGACTTTAAAATGGTTATTATATTAACACTCCGATGGCTTGGTTTTGTTTTGGCTTCAAGTCCCAAAATCGAAATGAAATCGAAGCATCCGAAGCACATATCCAAATCAACTTAACGCGATGTGTTTCAGCCTCATGGCTCGGTCGAGGTTCAGCTATATATGTATACATATACACGTAATATATGAATTATCTATGGAAAATACCAACGCCAGGAAGAAACAAATAGACCTGAAAATATCGGTAAACGATAACGCAGATAACACTAAGCGAGTAAAACGTGTACAATGGCATGGCATCTTAGCTAAGTTTGGCAACGAACTGTTCATGAAACGTGCCTCGCAACTTGCTCATTCACCTACTTCCCGACTTACTTTGCGCTTGACCTATTGCATCATTATTCAGACACCGGACGAAGCAATGCTCTCCGAAACTATGACGTTCCTTGTCATGTTTTGTATTTCTGGAACTGTTTTGAGCCCTCAGTCAACGCGTCTCATTCAAACTAGTTTTATCACTGATTTAAAGCCAGGTCAAAACTCGGTAGATGTAGTCATCAAACACGCCGCAAGAGCCAATCTAATTATATTTGTGATCCTGATTGTCTAGGTCAGATCATCTGTCTGTCTAACCATATATGTGATACCGTGAGCATGTCGGAGCCTAACCTGTCGATGCCGTAAAACTTTGTAATGTACTTGAGAAACTACACTAGAGAACTCTTGGTCGTAGAACCAAAACAGGCCACCCACATGGGCGCCCGTCAGTCCGCCGTCCATCTCATCGAACCGGTCGCTCCACAAACACTGACGCCGGCTCCAAATTGCAGGACAACAACACACTCTTCAAGACGGCCCACCCACCGAAACATCCCCGTGGTCCTTTCTGTGCGTGGTCCGTGCCGCCGTCCCCCGGAAACGGCGTCGGGTCGGGCTGGCTCACGTGAGCTCGGTGGACTATTTGAGTGGTTGTGGTCGGGTCGCCTGGCTGGACGGGGGCGCCAACTGCAGAGGGTGTTGCGTCAGGTGAGGCAGCGCCGCCGGAGGCAGCGTGACGGCCAACCGCGTCGCCCTCCCACGGCCGAATAAAAGCCCGGTCGCACAGACACCAGGCACCAGTCACTCGCCAGCAGTGGTGTCCACCTCACAACGCCACGGCAAACATGAAGCTGGTGAGTGCGGCCAGGGAGATCGGTGCTTCACATGAGGGTTGACAATCATATTCCAGCGGCGTCTGTACTGTCAGTAAAAGTGCCAGTATACGCCGAGCAAAGACAGGCCCATTGGCCGGCGTCCGTTGGCCCTTGGCCCTTGCCTTCTCAACCCTTGCCTGCATTGCTGGGTCGGCACCCCCTCTGACGTCAGGTGGGTGTGTTTCCAGTTGATCATAGCCTCGCTGGTGGCTCTGGCCTGCGCTGATGGCCCGCGGCCGCGGCCGGCGCCCGTCTCCTACCAGCGGCCGGCGGCCCCGGCACAAGCCTCCTACCACCAGCCGGCGGCACAGGCCTCCCACCAGCAGCCGGCCGGCTACGGCCAGCCCTTCGCCATCCTTAGCGACGAGAACGTCCACCCGGGCGACGGCACCTACCAGTTCAGCTTCCAGACCGAGAACGGCATCTCACGTAACGAGAACGGCAGCCCCAAGGACGGCTACGGCAAATCCGAGTACGGCCAGCCCACCGGCGGCTACGTCCAGCAGGGCGGCTGGAGCTACAGCGACGACTACGGCAACCCCATCCAGGTGACGTTTGTTGCCGACGAGAACGGCTACCAGCCGTCCAGCGACATCCTCCCAACGCCGGTGCCGACCGAGTACCCGCTGCCGATCGTGCCGCAGGTGTATCAGGGCGAGCAGAGCTATGGCCCTGCCCCAGCTCCCGCTCCCGCCCGCTACAGCGCCCCGGTTCCTGCTCCCCGGCAGTACAACGCTCCCGCTCCTGCGGCTCCTGCTCCTGCTCCTCGGCAGTATAACGCTCCCGCTCCTGCTCCTGCTCCCAGACGGTACAGCGCTCCCGCTCCTGCTCCTGTCCCCAGGCAGTACAGCGCACGCGCTCCTGCCCCCCAGCAGTACAATGCTCCTGCTCCGGCCCCTGCTCGTTACAGTGCTCCTGCACCAGCCCGAAATTACTAAGAAGGATGGACGGCGAGCGCTAGGAGTGTCGCACACGAGCGTGCGAAGCTGTGAGGCTTCGTGAGGGATATATGTACGCGCCGGTACTGCTGGAAAATACAGACACATGCAAAATGGACTGCGTTCATGTCACCCTTGTAATAATTTGTGGCTGAGGCAAATAATGTCGACGATACAAATGGTCATCAAAACCATGTACTGACGAGACAACTTTTCCATTGAATAGTTCGCATCCTGACCACATCCATAATCCGGCAGCCTAGAATCCACAGACGATGGATCGACAAACCCGGGCCGACGCTGTCTTAACTTGAACAGCAACTGGACTTTGAAGAGTGGATAGAACGCCTGTCATAAAGTATTGGCACGGGTGTGAGGATGGAGTGATGTCTGGCATCATCCTCGATGGATCATCTTTAGCGGTCAGACTCCTCATCACCTGCAGCGTGAGGACGCCCGTCCAGTGAAACCACGGACCCGGTCCACAGGGTTTGTTTTATACTGTTGCCGTGCTCGGACACCTCCATGCCCATTGCCTGGACGACAGGGTTCTCGATCCGCTCATATCGCCAGTGCGATATTCCAGTGTAACGTCATATTCACGGGCATGCTGTCAGGTTTAAGAGGAGTCCAACGATTGCGCTTGACTTCGTCTGGAGACCATGCCGCTCCGAGCTTGCGACACTCTATCTGCATCTGAATGCAGTTTGGACCTCTCCGCACTGGCAGAACGTATTTTATTTTCACCTGACGTCGGATAAAGTTATTTGTAACTACTTAGGGTACTTGCATTTGTTAAGGCGTCATTCCTCAGCACTACAAACGCACCAAACCCTCTAAAACTAGTTGTGGGTATAGTAGCAACTTTGCATCTGAGCACACAGAGCAGCAGAGTCATGCTACATAATATAATCAGTCGTAAAATTCATGTCATTCCCCCGAAGAAACGCTGGCGATATTGCCAACTTCGGTTGGAGCGTCGAAGCCTTCACTTTGCTGCTCCTGCTACTGCCGTCTAAACAGCAGCAGGAGCTTCCGAGGCGCTCGGGGATGTAGTGACCTTGTACTTCCGAGGCGCTCGGGATGTAGTGACCTTGTACTTCCGAGGCGCTCGGGGATGTAGTGACCTGCTGCTGCCGTCTCAACAGCAGCAGGTACTTCTGAGGCGCTCGGGGATATAGTGACATTGTACTTCCGAGGCGCTCGGGGATGTAGTGACCTTGTACTTCCGAGGCGCTCGGGGATGTAGTGACCTTGTACTTCCGAGGCGCTCGGGGATGTAGTGACCTTGTACTTCTGAGGCGCTCGGGGATGTAGTGACCTGCCGCTGCCGTCTCAACAGCAGCAGGTACTTCCGAGACGATCAGAAATGTAGTGACCTGCTGCTACCGTTTCAACAGCAGCAAGTACTTCAGAGGCTCTGCGGGACGCAGAGATCTGCAGCTGCACCATTAAAAGCAAGACATGCAGCGTTGCACGCCGCAGCTGCAACAGCCACAAAGCAGGCCTTTGGCGTGCAGACTGCTGCCAGTCTTAGGAGGAAATCGCATGCTCTAGCCGTTGCACCAGCAAGCAGATGAACATCGAAGACAAGGAAGGGGAGTTAGATGTACATAGTGATGATGCCTTTAAAAAGTAGTGGGGCAATGTGACGGGTGCTGTCTGGTTGTACTGCATTCAAACTTTTTCTGGATATTGTAACATGGTACATCGGAGGTTTTCTACTCTTTTGATATTTAACATCTGATTTGACGTTAGATTAGGTCTTGTAGCCCAAAAATAAGTCCAGAAATGGACTCGTAATAGTGATAAACCCGATAAAGATATGTCATACGGCCATCTATGTCATCCAGATGAACATGAGAAAATTGGTTATCATTCAAGATAGCGATGGCCACCACCTTGAATTCTGAGAAGTGCTAAGGTTGCACAAATAGCAACCAAGCTATTTGGCTTGCCCCATTGTAGAGGACATATTTCCGCGAAAAAGTAGCATTGCAGCGTAAACATTGCAGGGTCAACCTTTTGCCAGCTTGAATAATGGTGATTCAGAAAGTTTGGGCAAAGAAGGGCTAAACAAGCTGCTCTGTTTATTCGTGATCCAGTTGAAGGAGACAGACGGTGGTGGGTACGACACCACCTCAATGTATTCTTCTGTCTCAGTGCTTGGCCGTTATGCTAACGATATGGGCATAACGGCCAAGGGGATATTGAAAAAGACAGCCAAGGCCTGGGCCTGATCGGCATGAAGGGCCCAAGGCCTGGACGATTACCAAGACCTGAAAGATGTGAAGAAAGCCAAGGTTGAGCTCCTCGAGTCGACAGGAAAGGGCAACCGCCAGAACCAAGCGCTTGCAATCAGCAAAGAGGAAGAGAAGATGCTATATGCCGCAGGCCAGCTTGGGTGCTGCGGCCTCGAGACTCTTCAACGCACGTTCTGGCGGCACCTAACAGTGCTGTTCGGACACAGGGCTGTGGTGGGAGCCGCCAGCTGAAATGGGACGATGTCCAACTGAAGACCGACTCAACAGGTGACCAGCACTTTTAATTTAACGAGCGGCCCACCAAGGCCTGTGACGAGGGATCTGTCTCAGGTAGTCGGGCTTTGAAGCTAAAAGCCTTCGCTGACAAAGCACTGAAGATACCCAAAAATGCACAGTTCAGACATATGAGCTGTTCGTGGCTCGCCGCCCAGCCAAGATGCTCCAGACCGGGAACCCTTTCTTCCTGACATTAAATCACTGCTGGTACCCTGATGACGCCACAGAAACCCAGAGGTACAAAAAAGTCGCTGATGGGAAAGAACAAAATAGCAGGCATGCTCAAGACGGCATGTGAAAACGCGTGGATCCTGGGCAGGAGAACAAACCATTTGGCCCGCAAGACCTGCGAGAAGAGGACATTGGACACAGGTTGTCCAAGACATACGTAGCCCAGTTGACAGGTCAAAAGTCTTTGACGAGCCTGGAATGCTATGCAGTGACTGATATCAACATCCAGAGGACCCTCTGTACTGGTGTAACGAATGGATCTCGGTTCAGTGGGGCCACAAAGAATAGAATGTCATCGATGTCAACAACAGAGGTAGCAGCGAAAGCGGCAATTATTTTTAGCATCACTAACTGTCAGAACGTCAGAGCGTCAAGCAGCTAAATGAAGCAAAAAATGGGAAATTGTGTTTATATGCATAACAAATAATATTCAACTCTGGAGCAAAATGCAAGCTATATTTAACTGCACTCTATACTATTGTTTACATTGCTCGTCGCACTTGATCGTTAATTGGCGAGATATTTGATCTGAGGAAAACGGTGTATCTATATAATCAATTGCGGTTATCTCCGTTCAGGAACTTACGTCAAAAATCGATAAAATGTAGATACCCGGCGGGCCGAAACCTTTGTCCCATTGACCTAACATAACATCTCAGACATCCGAGAACCTTTTACCGCACATTCGCGCTGACGTTAAAACATCCCCCCCCCCCCATGTGGTAAAGACTGAGTCACTGGCGCACTGAGCCGACGTCCACGTGCATGCGAACCATCGTGTTGTTAGCTTAGTGTTGTCTCACAATGCGCTCATTTCCCGTCGCCTGTACGGAGAGACGCGTGGGAGATTCTGAGCCGAGGTCGACAGCGGATGGCGCAAATGAAACGCAGCCCCTTTTTCTGACACGGCTGCCAAATCTTTCCAAGTCCATAACTATCTTTTTGGATTATGAGGTTCCAACTACGCACTTTTACATTCAAATGAAAAAAGCTTCAAAATCGCGTAGGAAAATTGTTTTGCATGCATTACAAATGTTCATAAGAGCACAATAAGCGCCTTGCGTGAAATGACTCCAGCCAAGGCCTACACGTAGTTTGGAAGGTTTTGAACCAGTTTGCCACCTATATTTGTACGGTTCTCTTTCATAGTAGTGAAAAATTGCCGCCGAACGTAGCCATTTAATCACAAAATAAGAAAATACCAGAGACTGTCATTCCGAAACCGCTCATTTGAAAAACCTGAGAATATCACGGGCGTCTTCAGCGCCACTGACATCTCCTGTGGCATATTTTTGGCAACATTCGAGAGATGAGGGTGTAAAATTGACCCTTTGACCTGTCGAGTTGTTGAGGAATGCCCCGCTTACCAACTCATCCAGAGAGACGCGACGAGCAAAGTAAACAAGCGGGTTAAAGGTATCGTCGGCGCCATTTACCAAAAGGGCTACACAGGGCAGATCCAGCGTAGGCACATGGTGGCGGACCAGCCGAGACCTGGCCAGCTGCAGGGCAACCCAAGTCTACAAGTGACATTTCTCTGCGACTTGTCTACCTCACGAACGAGTGTCCACAGAAAAACAAGGCGGACAATCTACAGAGACCGACGGAGTCAGGAGGGCTGTGGAAAGGAGTGTGTACTATGCAGGCGCGTGTATGTACATATATATATATATATATATATATATATATATATATATACGAATATCTGTATCCATATTCAACAACAACCATCTCACTCAGTATACGCATCACGATGCACGTCCAGAACGTCTGCCCAAGAACGCAAACGGAATCCAACTATGACCAGCGACCTAACCGGCAACAAACTGCAGATAGCGCCACTGTGGTAGGCAGTTGCCACGGCATGAGACGGCAATATGTGATGGAAGCCGTATACATGCGAGACATGGACCTATCCATCAAGAGACAGCTCAACACGCGGGGAACCCTAGCCCTATACGAAGGAGTTCCTATCCGTTGGCCCACGGATAGGAATTAAGATGCAACTGAATTAAGACAGTCCAACTGAAACCACTTAATGGGAGACAGGTTAGCTCTTTAGAATTGGCTTCCGTGAGCTTTAGCTTTAAGATAGTTTCTAATACCTTGCTGGTACCGCGCTTTCGTGAAAAAAAGAAGAAAAAGCACGCTGGTGTTTTATATTTTTCCGCCAAGTTTCGGTAATAGATTAGACTATTTGTTAGATTTTTTGGTAAGTTCATCAATTATTCACAACCCATGGTGGGTGTTACCTGTTAATATTGTGTGTGATTACTGTGATTTCAAGCTAATGTCTTGCGTCTTGAGGACGTCAAAAGTTTAACGAACATCGGCGGGGTTTAAAAGGGGACAGAAATGTGGTTCGCCTGAGAATGTGCTCGCAATGAGTTTTGCTTCAGGACTTACAAGCACAGTCCAGAGAGCAAGAACTTAATGCGTAAGATTGAAAGTACATCGCGGAGGACCACAACAACGAAATCGCTGTTATTTTCAACGGCGCTGTTATTTTCGCGAAACCCCCTTTGATGTCTGCAAAGCCTACATACAACACGTTTCGTGAGAGCAAAATCGACGCTGATTGAACTATCAAACGCAAACATCACCACACACGCACAGGAGCCACGGTCATTTTTCATTATGCGCCTTTTGTGGAAAGGAAAGGAACAAACATGACTGGAACAAAGGCCCCATTGTTGCAAGGGAAGGTTGGACATGGTGAACTGCCTATATGCATTTTCTGAAGGAGGCATTTCTCAGGTGAGCACTCCCTCCGACCGTCACCGCTGGGGTCGCCCAAAGATGTGGCCATCGCACCGCTCCCAAGTACTCTGAGCGCACAGTGAAAATGCTCTTACGATCATTGTTATCTCATCGCCTCGCTATCCGTCACGTAGCTACAGTATCGCAAGTTAGTTATTTTCTTTACTTCCATATTTTCTCCAAAACATATATCCCAATGAGTTAAATATCATCACGCTGACAGTCTCTCCAGTCACAGTAAGAGCCAAACAACATGTGTGTTTAATGTTTCCACTGTTATGAGACCGTTGCATTTCCTAGGGTATGCGCCGAAGAGGCGCCGAGCACTTCAGCGCGCGGTGCCGATGCTTCCAACGCCTCCTCCTCCGTCGCCGCCAGCGGCAAGCAGCGACTACCCGTCCGCCGCTGGAGGCGCCTCCACCTCCGCTGCGGCCACCGGTGACGGCGGCGCCACGTGCGCTGGCGCCGTCCGCGGACGGTGGGTGGCGCTCGGCACCGAGGGGGCTCGGGACTGCACGTGAGCAGGCTGCGCCGGAGCTCGGCAAGGCCGTGAGGAAATGGACGACTATCGAGGCAGCTTTGCCAGCACATCATCAGCCAGCGATGGTTAGTCGGTCTTCGATATGTTGACGCCTCACCTCTTAGTCTCGTCTATTGTTTCAGGCGGCGGCGTAGGCCGAGCGAGCTTGTCTTCAAAAAATACATTTGTTCTGTGCATGATAGGCCAAGCCCGACCTGACGCGACTCTCGGGCTCTGGTACGCTAATAGCCCTGCAACCATTGTATGATGCCGGCTTCTTTCATCGGCCCTTGGCAGCATTCTGGCCTTGTCCCGTTAGTTAACTGTAGCATCACTGTTTTATATCACCACTGCCTATCGGGTTCTCGAAGCATTTGTTTGATTATTCCGGGAAAATATGGTAGGTGCACGGCATCATGGTCTGGTCCTTTGTGATGGCACTTAAACACCAAACCTGTTGAATCTTGTAAGGTCTCTTGTAGTGACTGAACGTTTTGTCCAGATACCGTTATCAAGGGGCTAATAATTTGGGTGATTTTGCTCTTTGGAAACCGATCAGCTGTGTAGCGCGTGGCAAGTTTATATGAGAAGCTTCTGTAAATGTGTTTAATGCATGTGCTGAGTCCAATTTCAAATGGTGTTGCCCATGCGCACAACCATGACAAATCATCGACGTTATTAGAAAAATAATTACGCCCACCGCACCTATGTGTATCTTTGCTCAACGACAAATCACCAGCCAGCAAAAACGTGGTGGGGCATCGACTGGAAGAAAACAGTATTCCTACCCTGGTTGAACAGTCCCTGAGTCATGCAAAAAGTGTGACGTATCCGCGAACCTTTCCATCCTTCTCCACTTCTGGCATGGAATGCGTTTTCTGTATAAAACTTAATATTGCGTTGGTGTCGGTGATGCGTTTTCATGCGTGCGGTACGACTTTGCATCAACATGCACCTACGGTATAGGAAATTTGACTTACAAGTTCGACTGAGGAGGCCGGCCAGGAATACCGCAGACAGCGAGACTGGAGCCTACGTCCCATGGCCGTCGCGGACGTTCAGTTCACGTTCAGGGTTTTGGGAGACATGTGGTGGCCTGGGCTGTAGTGCACTTCGCCAAAACTGCCTAGGTACGTGATCGCCAACATGAGAAAGTCTAAAAACGGCGCCAAGAGTGCCGCACCAAAGTGCGCCAAAATTTGGAAGCGCCAAAGACCAAGTCAAAGCGCAAGTTTCCCGCTAAGAACATTATAATATTTGCAAAGCTTTCAAGTTTTTGGAATCAAATGTTGAAAGACCATTGTACCCCCACATCTGACACACTCAGACCCAAGCTCAGAAATCGTCCGAGGACGCAAGGACAACGCCACACTGCGAGGCAAGTTAGCCCTCGTAGCACGAGTGGCGGCGGACTGGCTCCTGTCTAATGCCGCGACATTTTTCTCACGCCACATGCATGGCACAACGCCGCAGTGATCTGAACGGCCGACGACGCTGTCACTCCCACAGCACGGCAGACCCGCGGCGCGGTCACTCCCACAGCACGGCAGACCCGCGGTTCTGTCACTCCCACATCACGGAAGACCCGCGGTGCTGTCTCTCCCACAGCACGGCAGACCCGCGGTGCTGTCACTCCCACAGCATGGCAGACCCGCGGTGCTGTCTCTCTCACAGCGCGGCAGACCCGCGGTGCTTTCACTCCCACAGCACGGCAGACCCGCGGTGCTGTCACTCCCACAGCATGGCAGACCCGCGGTGCCGTCACCCCCACAGCACGGCAGACCCGCGGCGCTGTCTTTTCCACAGCACGGCAGAAGCAGCCCGGCCTCCGGCAGCGGCGCGCCGGCGGTCGGCCGGCGGGCACTTACCTTTTAAGCCGCGTTTGGGCGACCCAGTCGTAGAGCTGCTGGTCGCAGCCGGGTGGGCACACGCTGAGGTCCCAGGTTTCCTGGATGGCGTCCTCCTCGTCCTCATCCTCATCGTCCGAGTCCGAGTCGTCGTCCGAGTCGGACAGGGAAGAGGACGAGTCGCTGTCGTCCGAGTCGTCTGTGGAGGACGGGCGGCGATCATGTGGATGGTGTCAGAGCCCGGTCAGCCTCCCGACCCCTCGGAGGAGACGGATCACCGACGAGACATATGATGTCGTGCAGGTCCCGGGGATGATCCCGAGCCCCTCCCCACAGCGCATCTGGCATGTGTCCCGTCACTGGTGGCGTAGCTGTCCTGTACACGTGATCATGTCGGGCTAGGACCGCGCCACCCAGTTCGACTTGGAAATACGGAAGGCACGAGTGCGGTACGAGTCCCGTTTCCCAGCAGCAAGACTTTTGTCCGCTGCCTTCTTCAGCACTGCCCTCATGCTGTCATCTACCATCGCCAAAAATGCGTTTCCGGGGTGAGCAGGCCTAGCTTCATAGGGCTGCACACAGTAAGATAGGTTCTCGTACTAAAGATACATATACATTTATTACTAAATTTACCATTACTTCATACACACACGCACACGCACGTACGCACGCACGCACGAACGCACGCGCGTGTGTGCGTATGCGTGTATTTAGTCATGATAAAGTTAGTACTAAATGTTTGCATATGTTTGACGCGGGAACCTATCTTACTGGGCGCAGCCCTATGGAGCTAGGCGTGTTATGTGTGCACACACATGGAGCTCATTTATTTTCTCCAGGTATGTTAAATCCTGAAATTTTGAGGTCAAATAGTTCAGAAAAACATGCCAAATAAACTCGAGTTGGCTTCTCAATACCATCAAAACAAAGCACGGACTTGATTCCTAAGTTATTTACGGCTAGCCGGCTGAGCGATTTAATTACCTGATGGTTAATGACTAACGCAAAATTTGTCATTTGTTCTACAGGAGTACAAAATATCCTAGCATTTAAAACGTGTTAAGAACGTCATGTACAAGTATGCTAAGTGCCAACATTCAAAAGCAAAGGAAATGACATCTACGACGCAGGCGGCACACAAAATTACGTTCGAAAGTTGTGCGTACAAATTCATCGGCGCATAGCCGACTGCTGCCCTGAGGCTAAAGCACCAAGACCAGTAGCGACTGAGCCTGAGCGATCATGGGTGCCGCGGGAGGCCAATAGAGACTGAGCCTGAGCGATCATGGGTGCCGCGGGAGGCCAATAGAGACTGAACCTGAGCGATCACGGGTGCCGCGGGAGGCCAATAGAGATTGAACCTGAGCGATCACGGGTGCCGCGGGAGGCCAGTAGAGACTGAACCTGAGCGATCACGGGTGCCGCGGGAGGCCAGTAGAGACTGAACCTGAGCGATCACGGGTGCCGCGGGAAGCCAATAGAGACTGAACCTGAGCGATCACGGGTGCCGCGGGAGGCCAATAGAGATTGAACCTGAGCGATCACGGGTGCCGCGGGAGGCCAATGGAGGCTGATCCTGAGCGATCATGGGTGCCGCGGGAGGCCAATAGAGGCTGAACCTGAGCGATCACGGGCGCCGCGGGAGGCCAGTAGAGACTGAACCTGAGCGATCACGGGTGCCGCGGGAGGCCAATAGAGACTGAACCTGAGCGATCACGGGTGCCGCGGGAGGCCAGCAGAGACTGAACCTGAGCGATCACGGGTGCCGCGGGAGGCCAGTAGAGAATGAACCTGAGCGATCACGGGTGCCGCGGGAGGCCAATAGAGACTGAACCTGAGCGATCACGGGTGCCGCGGGAGGCCAATAGAGACTGAACCTGAGCGATCACGGGTGCCGCGGGAGGCCAATGGAGGCTGAACCTGAGCGATCATGGGCGCCGCCGGGGACCAACAAAGAGGCTCCCTAACCTAACCCACCTAACCTAACCTACAAATATACAACAAATATAGGACCTTCAGAGCAAGCAGTAAGAACCCAGGGCTACGGTGGCGGGCCCCTAAACAATCGGGAGCGCTATGGCAGGCTGACATGTAGGGCCCGGCCAGAGCACAGGGTCCTCTGAACAAAGGGGCATCACCCAACACCATGAATTAATACCCCCTTGCGATCAAGAGTGCCCGAGCAGGTTAAAAGAAAGAGCCCCGATAAGATTGAAGGGTCCTCCGCGAATGAAATCAAAGGGAAGTGGCCCTCGGTCATAGTAGAGGGCCCCTGAGCATCGAGTGCCGCGGTGCCTCACCATATATGATGGACAGCAACAGCACACGGCCCTCCGAGCAAGTGGAAAGCATATGTATGACTAGTATGAAGGGCCCCTGAGCAACTGAGCGTACCTGGGCATATCGGGCCCCGGAAAAGGCGTTTGGAGCCTTTCGGGCAAATTGAAAGAATCGTGGAGGAAAACCTGATTGATCAAGATTACCAACGCATGGAAGCAGATAGCGTCCCAACAGCAGCGTTGGGCTCTTCCAAAAAAATGCAAGGAGATCAAAGGCAACGTGGAAAGCTCCTTAATGATCAGATCGACCTGACAAGTGGACATATAGGGCCCGGGCAACAGTGTAAGACCTCTGGACAGCGTGATGAGCCCAACAATTTCCCCCAATCAACAAAACACGTTAACAGATGGGACCCCGTCAAGAGCGTAGGATCCTCCATTCAGATAGGAAGTACCCAAGACCCAACGTACAAGCTCCCCAACGATCGGATGTGCCCGTGCAGCTCATCAGAAAGGGCCCCGACAAGGGCTTATTTAATAATTTATATAAGACAAGGCTATTCATTCAAATAAGGAGCACCAAAAACCCAGTGTGGAGGGCCCTCTAAAGATGGAGCGTACCTGAGCAGGCTATCAGATGGCTTCGATAGGACTGTAGGGTCCTAAATTCAAACACCAAGACGCAATGCCCAAGGCTCCGATCAGCCTAGTATGACCACGGAGACGAGCTGAGGGGGCCCCGACAAGTGCGTTGGACCTTCTGTTCAAATAGAAGGAACCCAAGACCCAATTTGGAAGGCCCAGAACGACCGAGTGTGCCCAAGCAGGTTAACAGATGGCCCCCGACGTGAGCATAGGGCCATAAGCCTGCAGAGCCTTTCTGATCAGTGGAAAGAATCCGTGGAAGGCCCCTGATTGACAAGACCGTCCCGACACGCTAGCAAGGAGTATCCAGCAGCAGCGCAGGGCCCTTCGAGCAAGTGTAAATAAATCAATGGCAACATGGAAGGCTCCTTAGCAATCGAGATGACCCTGATCGGAATCCCCCGGAAGCAGCGTAGGGTCCCTGTAGGACCCCATGATACGCAAAATTATCAATTAACAGCTTTTTCGATCATTGAATACATTTTGTCTGCTCGTGGGCCCCTCATTTTTGCTTGCGACTGTTCTTCCCTGCTCACCTGTAAAACCAAAGACGTCCAATTTTGTCAAGTTTTGTGTGATAGCAAACTATACTTGTTCAATTGGCGGCTATGGGCCGTTCGGAGCCTAAGGGCTCCTTCGGGATCAGGGGAGGCATGAGCGTCAGGGAACATCAGGGGCCCACCACGGATCCTTTCCATTCACTCAAAAGGCCCTACGCTATTGCCGGGGCCACACATGTTAGGCTGCCAGGGTCGGTTCCTCAGGGGCCCTTCACATTGGTTTCGGCTTCTTTCCACGTCTTCGGCGGGATCAGCGCTGTTGCTGGGGGCCATATAGGTTATTGTACCGAAGCACTCAATGCCCAGGGGTGCTCTACACTGGCATAGGGCTCTCATTTGCGGGTGGCCATACACTATTGCTGGGGTTCTTTCTGTTAACCGGTCCGGAAACTCTTGATCGCGCAAGGGTCAGCAACATTGGTATTGGGCATTTCAAATTTACTCAGATGACCCAACACTGCTGTCATTAGCCCTATACGTTCATGTTTCAAGGTACTCCCGATCGTGTAGATGGCTTGCGCATTGATCATGGGTTGTTTCCCGTTTGCTCGGAGGGCCCTGCGCTCTGACCGGGCCCTATGTGTTCAACTACCGGGTACTGTCGATTATTCAAGGGCCCACAATTTTGGTCCTGTTTTTTTCATTTGCTCGTAAGACCGTTTACGGTTGATATGAGCCTCTGTGTTGAGCTGCTGGCTCACCTTTCGATCCGTTAGATGACGACCCTGCTGGTCTTGGGGTTTTCTTATTTATCGGAGGACCTACGCTGTTGACGGAGCTCTACGTGTTAGTCAGCTGGGGCACTCTTGATTGCTCTGGGGCCTCCCACATTCGTTTTGGGCTCTTTCTATTAGGTCAAAGGGGCCTTATTCTGTTGCCAAAGGCTCAACGTGTGCTTGCGAGCGCCAGCACTTCCATCATTCATGGTGTTCTGCCAGGTCGGGTATACGCGTCTGGCTGAATTATTTCAGATAAATAAGTTCGAGATCTACACGATGACAATGTTCCGCGGGGTTTTAGCTGCACATCGTAGCAGCCACATCTGTTCCGACAATTTTTACGCGCAATTACCTAAGAACTTCAAGCGCCACCAGCGAAATATATTGCAGTGCCCTTGATTGTTCATTTGTGCCTCTCATTATGGTGTGCATTCCACTTCTAACACAGTTTATATGCTAACATATTTTATATTTCCATCATATCCAAAACAACAACACGGCATTTGTTAATAGTCATTGGCTGTTCACAGCATCCACTAGCTGGCTAGCCGCCGGAAACCAGCTGGCCGCAGCCAACCCTGGGATCAAGTGTCGTGCTGGACTTTGATGGTATTTAGCAGCCCATATGAACCTATGTTGCCATATCTTCTCAACAACATTGAGCCTTAAAATAGCGGTGCACACCATGATCTGAAGACAATGAACGCGCTCTATGTATACACATACGTCCGACACTTAGCCTTCTGGGGCCGCGCACAGAAATATTGTTCCCGCATGCAAAATGGTAGACATAAAAAATCTTGAAAATTAAAAGAAGAAATCTGAGGATTTTTGGAGAACGGACTCCAAGCTATAGAGTGGCCCACAATGTTGCGTGGCCACCTCCTTGACTCAATTATGGACCAGCCTCTGCCTGCGTAACGGCGGCAAAAGCCAATGCAATCATGCCATGCCGATTCTTGAGACGGTTCCAAACGTACGATTTCCTTCCAGGCGTCACAAGCAGTCAACGTTTTTTAAATGACGTAAATTCCGTCGTTTTGAGCTATAACACCATTCACTTTCATTTTAAAAGAAGTATCCCACCTTTTCATGCCTCTCACTTATTGTTTCATCGGACGCGTACAATTCATCAGTAGTACCAGTTTTCGAAATTCCTCTGAATATTTTAAACCTTTATTCGAAATAACCAATGATGCGGGAGAAACTGGTTTGACTCACTGTTCACCACTATTAAAGCAATACATTTAGTTTGCCTCGTTTTATCCAACGTATGTCACCTATAATGTTAGCAACGCACTAATGTGTCAAAACGCTTGTGTGATAAATGCTGCGAAAGCTATGAACACTTTGCTAAGATGAGCGAACATGAAGCCATTATTCCGAGACTTCAACGAAACGTCATATGTTGAATTTGGTTTCTCCCCGTATGGCGTTTACAGCAGTAACTCTTCTCGGGGCGCACTTCGGCTTTGGAAATAGCAGCGCTGCATGATCCGCGCGACGCACTGGTTCAAACTTTAACCAATGCGCTTCTAGGTAGCAGGCTCTTGCCAGCTGGGCCAATGACAAACGTTCTCTTATTCGCACTAGTAGAGGTGCGCACGGTGGTTGTCATGGTGAAGGCGACCGCGACTTTAAGGAAGAAGCGTATTGATTTTGCAAAGCGATGACAGCATAGCTAACACTAAAAAATAATTAAAATTGATATTCTGATTATGTTCTTATGGTGCTCCAGTGGCACTATCCAGTGCTATTATTGGACGTAACTAGTCTTGAAGTTTCACTGGATTATGTTTCTCTGAAATATTCCCCAAAGGTGGGACACCCCTTCAAGTTTCGTTGGGAGAGGAGGAAGGGTTACGCGGTCAGGGAGCCTTTCGCAGATGTTCTTGAAGACATGTCTCTGTGCAGGAGGATACACGAGAAATAATGGCGGACGAAAGCACAACTCAAAAATGTGTACTGAAAACGTTCAGCGCGCTTCAGGCGCGCGAAATTTCTTGCGTGACGTAAAACAACATCGCATATTGTCGATCTTGTCTTTACCTGTCCACCTGGCACTTTTAGCTGTCAACACTTAATCACACACGTATAAAACATGACATAGATTCAGGAAGGAGAGCGCACACCCTCAGGGGCTTGTACGTGTGCAAGCTCCTGTCTCTGTACACAGTGATCAGCGATTAAAGCTTTCCTACAGCAGTTAACGAGGCTCAAATCGTGCCTCGGCCGTCGTGTTCGCCGGGCCAAAAACAAACGCGTTAGCCCATTACTTGTTGTGGAAAGCTCTCATAACCATGCAGTTCGGACTGGGAACACTGAAACGCACAGTCATTGAAACCAGTCACCCGTGTTAAGTTAAAACGGCGGCTTGTGCTCGATTATCGGATGGCCATCACTGCGCCTTCTTTGGCATTCCGGAAACTTCAAGCCAGTCATGCTGTATCTAATAACATTGTTGTATTTCTGAACTACATTGCCGTGTTTCTGAACTACACTGCTGTGTTTCTGAACAACGTTGTTGTATTTCTGAACAACGTTGTTGTATTTCTGAACTACGTTGTTGTGTTTATATATCACCACTGCCGCAATGCTTTGATACAGTTCAGCTCCAGTCTGACAGGTCAATGTATTCAAGGCTTCCTTTACCTATCCACCCAAATCAGAGCACGGCTCATTGACAAGGACTTCCATTGCAGAATTCACGGAACAAAAAATATAGATACTTGATATCAATGAATCACACCTAGCATGCAACAATATCCAGAACGAACACAAAGTGCACGCCTCACCAGAGGCCCGCACTCACCATCTTTTTTGGTGTCAGATTTGCGTTTGATTTTCCTCTTGTACACCCGGAGCAGAAACTTGGCATACTTGTCACCGGGTATGTTGTTGGTGACCTCCTTAGCCAGTGCGACGATCCCCTGCTCCAGCTCCTCTTGTTCCCGTGTACGCGCCTCGAAGCGCTGGGTCACCTCGGCCAGCTGCCAGCGGACAGCCGACAATGAAGTCGAGGCTGCTGAGAGCCCAAGGCCCAAACCGCACCAATACGGCAGAACAGGGACAACGTGCGGTACACTAAGTCGCATGGACAGGGCGAGCTAGCGAAAGACAGTCATCCCTCAGAAACCTCCCGTCCAAAAGCTTAAGCATGCTCAGCTTCACACTGTTTATGCCCGCGCGGCCGCATTCGAAAAGTGACTGGCATGGATATTTCCACTCAGTTTGAAAGGGTGATTTCTTGCATGACCACCGTGCGTTCAAACAGCACGGTCGACAGCATCAGGCAAAACAACAAAATGGTTGCAGTTTGATGACTCATCTCACTCGACCGCGTGCGACCGCTCAGATCCTGTTTTGTTCAGACCAGCAGTCATGTTCAGTTCTGGGGCAAACCCCTCGCCCGCCTTTTTTGAAATCGCCGTGACATCTTACCGCCATCTGTGCCTCCGTGTCCTCCTGCATCTTTTCCTGGAGTACGCGGTTTAGCAATGCCTCTTGCTTTTCGAACTCGCGCACCAGCACCAGCTCACGGAACCTGGAGCACGGCGGGTGCTCTGCCTCACCAGGGTACCAATCGTTCACAGCCATCCGACCGGGCAGTCAGCCGGCCCGGGGACCCCGACCAGGCAGTCAGCCGGCCTGGGGACTCCGTCCAGGCAGTCAGCCGACCCGGGGACTCTGGCCAGGCAGTCGGCCGGCCCGGGGACCCCGGCCAGGCAGTCAGCCGGCCTGGGGACTCTGGCCAGGTAGTCAGCCGGCCCGGGGACCCCGGCCAGGCAGTCAGCCGGCCCGGGGACTCTGGCCAGGCAGTCATCCGGTCCGGGGACCCCGGCCAGGCAGTCAGCCGGCCCGGGGATTCTGGCCAGGCAGTCAGCCGGCCCGGGGATTCTGGCCAGGCAGTCAGCCGACCCGGGGACTTTGGCCTGACATAGCCGATCGCTTACCGATAGCTTCCAAAACCATGGGCGGATCCAGGACTTCGTCAAGGGTGGTACACGCTTCATTGCTAGTCCCCCTGGAACTTGGCGCCCTCCTCCCCCCCCCCCCCCCAACAAAAAGTCCCCGAATTTCGACCACTTCATTGTGCAATTCTTAACTTTTAATCGGCAAACAATCTTCTGCTTGAACGGCCCACCGGATTTAACTCACTTTGATTTTGGAGGTAAATTTTCTTCTATGTAAAACCTGAAGATATGAAACACGAAACATGAAGCATGTTGGGCTTATTCAGCTGAAAGAGAAGCTAGAAGTTACCGGAAGAGACAACTCAGCACGTATTTAGGAACAAATGAAACCAAAGTAGGCAGGAATTAAATGACTGCATCAAATAAACGGCAGGCGCTGTTTAACTTACAATGGACTATTTGTTCCTTTCTATTGAATAATAGTATCCAAGAGCGTTGCCGGAGTTACTCGGGTTTTCCAAAGATGTTGAAAGGTCAGTGGAGTGAACGACAGCGTAGATGGAAACGACCAAATATTTACATGGATGTGCCTATGTTCCTCCTTGAACTATCCCTCGTTCCTTGGGATAGTTCAAGTTTTCTTCAGAATCCACCAGCGAAAAGCAAAATATTAACTAGTTTTGAGCAGTAGTGCTCTCCGCCTAGACAAAAAAAAAACACCGACGCCCGCGTTGTGGTCCGTACGGGCTGCGCGGAGCCGGCCTCCCAGTAACACACGGCGGCGGCCAACGGGCGGGTGAAATTGGTGACGTGGAGGACAGTGGCACTTCAAACGCTTCATGAAATAAGTTGCCTCGTGTTGCGGTAACTACAACACGACGGAGGGATACATTATACAACGGGCCCCTCTCTCAAGCGGTAGGCTCTCGGGCCAGGACATCTGGCAGCAGATCGACGCAGTGCCTTGAGTGTGCAAAAGGATCTTTTAACGGCGCGGGAGTCCAATAATTGGTACAGAGACAACACTGCCGCTTATCGGCCCCTGGTTGAAACGGTGCGGTGAATCCCTCGTTCGGTACTGGGGGCTGGGACTGACGCAGGGTCTGTCGATACTGGGGGGCTGGGACTGACGCAATGTCTGTCGGTACGGGGGGGCTGGAACTGACGCAGGGTCTGTCGGTACTGGGGGCTGGGACTGAGCGCAGGGTCCTTTCGGTAACTGGGGGCTGGGGACTGAAGCAGGGTCTATCGGTACTGGGGCTGGGACTGACGCGGGTCTGTCGAGTACTGGTCCCTTGGGACGGACGCAGGGTCTGTCGGTCTGGGGCCTGGGACTGACGCAGGGTCTGTCGGGTCTGGGGGCCTGGGACTGACGCAGGGTCTGTCGGTACGGGGCCCTGGGACTGACGCGGGTCTGTCGGACTGGGGGCTGGGACGTGGGACAGGGCCAGGGGTCCTTGTCGTGATTGGGGCCTGGGCCTGACGCAGGGTCGTTCATTACCGGGTCTGGGACTGACGCAGGGTCTGTCGGTATTGGGGCCTGGGACTTACGCAGGGTCTGTCGGTACTGGGCCTGGGACTGACGCAGGGTCTGTCGTACTGGGGCTGGACTGACGCAGGGTCTGTCGGATGTGGGGCCTGGACTGACGCAGGGGTATTTCAGTACCGGGCCTGGGACTGACGCAGGGTCTGTCGGTACTGGGCCTGGGACTGACGCAGGGTCTGTCGGTACTGGGGCTGGGACTGACGCAGGGTCTGTCGGTATTGGGGCCTGGGACTGACGCAGGGTCTTTCAGTACCGGGCCTGGGACTGACGCAGGGTCTGTCGGTACTGGGGCTGGGACTGACGCAGGGTCTGTCGGTACTGGGGCTGGGACTGACGTAGGGTCTGTCGGTATTGGGGCCTGGGACTGACGCAGGGTCTGTCGGTACTGGGGCTGGGACTGACGCAGGGTCTGTCGGTATTGGGGCCTGGGACTGACGCAGGGTCTGTCGGTACTGGGGCTGGGACTGACGCAGGGTCTGTCGGTACTGGGGCTGGGACTGACGCAGGGTCTGTCGGTACTGGGGCTGGGACTGACGCAGGGTCTGTCGGTACTGGGGCTGGGACTGACGCAGGGTCTGTCGGTACTGGGGGCTGGGACTGACGCAGGGTCTGTCGGTACTGGGCCTGGGACTGACGCAGGGTCTGTCGGTACTGGGGCTGGGACTGACGCAGGGTCTGTCGGTATTGGGGCCTGGGACTGACGCAGGGTCTTTCGGTACCGGGTCTGGGACTGACGCAGGACGCAGGGTCTTTCCACTTTATGATAGTGAATGCCAACTCTTGCCTCGTTATTTCCCACATATTCATTCATTGCCAAGAGGACCGTGACCAGCACAAGAGACGCATTGACGTTCGTAGTTCCATCCCTGAGCCTATTCCGAAAATGTGCCCCCGGTCTTTCCCATGCCCTCCCCCGGCCCACCTCCATCTCGAGATATGGGCACACACGCAGCTCGACGAGCCAAACGGGGCGCGGCTATGAAGTTAATAATCTTCCGCAGAAACACATCGTGGCTCCATGCGGCATTCGGCGGGTGCTAGGGATTTAACGGGACTGTGCCAGGACCTCCGCTTATCTATAAAATCCTGTGAATTGCCACCTGACGGCGGAACTTGCGTGGCATCAAAAACTGAAGTCCATCGCAAACTCTCCTGCGATGCAGACGCGTGCCTGGTTCTCATTTCGTCTCCATTCAGCTGCCACCATATGAATCTCATTTGGAAAACCTCGTGTTGACGTCCAGAAACACGCCGCATGTCACAGGAGGTAACGGAAATCGCGTGGCGATCTGACCTGAATCTCATCAGGCAAGCCTAGTGTTGACGTCCAGAAACACGCCGCATGTCACATGATGTAACGAAAATTGCATGGCGATCTGACCTGAATCTCATCAGGCAAGCCTAGTGTTGACGTCTAGAAACACGCCGCATGTCACAGGAGGTAACGAAAATCGCATGGCGATCTGGCCGGTAACGCGTGGTGATATCTGTCTCTGTCATATCTATTGGAATGGGTCGATATAGCCGCAGTAGCCGTGACATCTGACTGAACAGTCCTGGCACTGGCACTACTTAGCCATGTGACCCGCCTGGCGGGTCACGGGCGCCTGGCACCAACTGACCTGGTGATGAGACGGAGGTCGGCGTTTTTCAGCTCGTACTCGATGCGCACCATTTCCTTCCACACTTCGTACACACACTCGTCAAACTCTTCAATCAGCTCGCTCATCTTGCGCAGCTCCTGGTCGCGCGCGAACGCCGTCCTGCAACACACGAAGCCACCTGGCAGTAAGTTGCGGAAGGATCACGGGGCGCAACGACGCAAACCTCTCTTAGTGCTCCCTGCGCTCCACAAAGTGGCACCTGTCAACTCCAAGGACAGGCTCCCTTGTTTCGCATCGGCTGGGCCTGGAGCGGGCTTTGTCTGAGACAGAGAACACAGATCATCCCCAGCTGATCTCGAAGTACCGTCGCCCATCGCTGCCCCCTAGTGTTCGCGTTCGCGGCCCCTTCCCCTCCTCCTCCGCGCTCACCGCATCTCGGCGACTTTGGTGAGCGTCTGGTCGGTGTCGGACCGCTGCACGACCGGGCGGGCGCGGTGCGCGCCCACCTCCATCGCCGCCTGGTGGCGGGCGCGCAGCAGGCTGCGCCGCCGCAGCGAGCCCAGTGGTGTGCCCGCGGCGCCCGTGCTATCGGTCGCCGAGCTCTCGGCCGCCGCCGCCGCCGCCGCCTGTGCCGCCGCCGCCGCCTGCGCCGCCGCCACCACCGCCGGGTCCTCGTGCGCGATGGCGGCGGCGGCCGCCGCCACCTTGCGGTACTCAGCCAGCGCCTCCTCCGAGATCTGAGCCGGCAACGGCAATACGGTAAGCCATTGCAACAGACGCCCGCTGCTGGTGTTCTTGACATACGCACACATTCACCTATGCTTTCGGAACGGCACCGGCTTCCACGGGTGGCTATGGGGGCATTCCGACGGCTGCTCTCGCAGCCGTCAGAATCTTACAGACCGCACCAGCAAGCTAGTTAATTCAAAACTAGCCAGACACTTTTGACCTTAGCGATAGTAGTATCGCCACCAATCCCCGGCTAAAGCCGCACAAAATAAGGTACACGCCATCGCACCTGGCCGATCAGATGCGTGACTCCGACGTCAGCCAGCCGGGACTGACCTGGTAGATGGCCTCGGGCGACTCGTCATCGGCCAGACTCGGCTGCTCCGGCAGCTTGACGTGCTGCGAGGGCGGCAGCTTCTTCTGCAGCTCCCCGGCCCTGGTGAGTGATGCGCAAATTTCGCGCAGCACCTCCTTCTTCCGGCGGCGCAGCTCCAGCACGCGGCTGTTGAACTCCGTCTTGTGCTTGCGAATCTGGCACGCAGAGAGCCAAACGGATAACAGTTGCGCGCACAGGTGTTCTGTCAAGTGCTGATTTAGTGTCCGGGCAACATTCAACGCATATTCGGGTGGGAGGTCAATCTGACCTCCGCTTCCTAAAGTATTTTTCCAGGACAACACCCGAATGGAGCGACGTAGTAACGCTTTACTTTGAACAGCTGTTGACGACTCAGAAGTTGAACTTTTTATGCCAAAATATAGACATATCTCTTAAGGTCACTGACCTGTAACAGAAAAAGTCAGGCCATGCTTGTCAGCGAAGGGAACATTCTGAGCTGATGCGACAATGGGGTTTAAGACGAAGTCATGCAACTTTAAAGCCTTTTGGGAGCAATTATACTAATAACATTAGAATTGGAGCTTATTTTTCTATCCTTGGGTGAGGTATGAAAACCAGGTCGAGGCTCAAACCAAAACACATCTTCTTACTTAAAAACGTGCCTCTGTGGATGGTTTTTGACAAAAATTCGGGATTTTCATTACAAGGTTAACAAATTGTATTTTGATTTCGTGAACGCCAGAGAAGATATTTGACATGAATTAACCTCGATCAACCTTTTCCTTTCACGGACATGCAGCTTAGGGTAGGTCTTGACGCTGATTTCAAATTCAGAATGATCTCGAAGTTTTTTGGGTTGTTTTGACCTTTTTAAATAAGATAAGGCCGCTGACCTGATATGACCCCTAAATACATTTTGCTTGGAAGCTGTTTCGGCTAAAGCACGGTTACATGCGGTCAGACGGCACGTTGAGTGCTGATCTCGATCTCAATCGTGTTTGACCCGAAGACCACGACATTAAGAAGTACAAAAGACACCAGCGAATTCACATCGAGCCCCACGTATTCTGCGCCTCTTGTCACTCTAGCTCGCTTAGTTTTTGAAATATCAGAGGGTCAAACCGGCCCCAACCCCTACCATCCCGAGTACCTTCTAATCAACTGACCACCCCGGTGCGTGTTAAACAACACTTGTTCCTCCCCGTGATTCATTGAAACTTTCCACTTTAATTTATCTAAGCTGAGAAGAACTCGATGCTTCGCCCATATTTCACATGCTACTAGTGTCCGTAACACGACTGCACCCATGCAGTTTCGTGCACCAGTCTAAAAAATGTATAGCCCCATGACATGTCTGCTACAAAAAAACCGGGTCGGAGCTGCGTGTTTCCCCTGCTTACTGCGAGCTCCTGCTCCAAAGCTGACCGCCTCACTTTATAATCCCAGGCAGTTCTGCGAACATCGGCTGGTCACGCCGAGGCGTTGTGAGCACCGCACTGTCTTATGCCGCCTGATCAGCAAGATAGATGAACCCACCAGCAGCTACAGTCTGCCCACCTCTTCCTTGACGGAGATGAGCTGGTGCCGCTTGAGGCGAGCCGTGTTCTGGCGCGAGTCGACTACCTTGAAGTCAGCGGCCGTTTTCAGCTTGAAGTCGCCCAGGCTGTCGAGCGCAGTCTGGATGGCGGCCAGGTCGGTCGGGTCGTCGCGGTTTTGGTCGGGCCGACGGGCCATCATGTTAGCCCACTGGCGGCGGCCGGCCAGGTCAGCTGAGAGCGATGAAGCCGCCCGCCGCCCGACGCGGCTTCTGTCGCGGCAGGCGGAGGTGGGGACGCGTGGCAGCCAGCCACCAGTCGCGATCACGCCGACCGCAGCTCAACAACGAGGCACTCCTTACCTTACCGTACGTACAGCTGCTGACGTCACTGACTCACGACGCCGACCCGGGAACCTGGACACAAGCGGCAGCAGGCTTCTAGCCCATCAACTGACGCTCCCGGGCGGACTTTCCGCAACCGTGCTGACCAGTCCTCATTCCAGATCACCGCACCAGACGCCCGTCGCCAGCATACCACGCCACCAGCGGCGCAGCTCCGCCCGCCCGCCCACCTGTGTTCTGCGGCGCCGCCGCCTGGTCTTCTTCTCCTCGAGCCGCAGGAGGGCGCGGTAGGCCCGGATGCCGACGCTCTTGCGCGTCTGGCGGCGCGCACTGACCGACATCTGCTCAAACCGATTGGCGTCCGGGTCGGCCGGGACCGCTATCCGGGAGCGGGAGGGGACCGCACTCGACCTGGGCCCAGCCAGAGGCGTCAGTGGAGGCGCAGTCAGCGGTCGGCTGTTCCAGCAGGCTCAATACGATCGCGTGCAAAAGCGGGCCACTAATTAACAGCGTATGAATGATGGTACTGATCAGTGGCATTAGTCTGACCAAGATGAGTTTATTGTTACCATTGCCAAATGAATAAGAAAGCACGCTTGTATGAATTGATTGGCAGAAAAACGTAATTGTTAAAGTGGCTACGTTCGTCCAGATCACGGCCACTTTTGTTTCTCCCCACCGGATCGGTCACGGTCAGACCCCGTTGTACAGGCCGACACTGAAGGACAGTGGTGCCCGGCATGACAGGTAAGCCGGACCTATCCGGTCCTAGAAACGGACGTGCCGGCCGGACCTACCAGGTCCTGGAGACAGACAGGTCGGCCGGACCTACCCGGTTCTAGAGACGGACAGGCCGGCTGGACCTACCCGGTCCTGGAGACAGACGGGTCGGCTGGACCTATCCGGTCCTGGAAACGGACGTGCTGGCCGGACCTACCAGGTCCTGGAGACAGGCAAGTCGGCTGGACCTACCCGGTCCTGGAAACGGACATGCCGGCCGGACCTACCCGGTCCTGGAGACGGACAGGCCGTCCGGACCTACCCGGTCCTGGGGACAGACAGGCCGGCTGGACCTACCTGGTCCTGGAAACCGACATACCGGCCGGACCTATCCGGTCCTGGAGACGGACAGGCCGGCCGGACCTACCCGGTCCTGGAGACGGACACCACCTCCAGCTGGCTGACGGCCGAGTCGCTCTGGTCGCGCGCCTCCAGGAAGCTCTCGGACAGCGTCTTGACGCGGAACGTCCACACCTCGCGGCAGTTCCTGTGGCGGGGCCGACACGGCGCCAGCCTCAGCGCCGCAGCTTATGTTTGGGGAGGGGATGGGCGCGCTGGCAGGGCAGCGCTACTCGTTCCGAGGTAAATGCACGTGCGGCACGTGTGGCTCGTTGCAAAGACTCAGCTCTGGACCACGACAGTATGAAAGCGTACCAAAGGAATCGTTACGCTCAAACAAGAAGCAGTGATACTGGCGATGCCACCTTCCCTGGTCGTGTTCTGTGGCGTCACGGATCAATTGCTGAACTGCAACTCTTTCAATGATCACGCCATTATCAGTAAAACAAGCAGAAAGTTCAAAAACGAATATTCATAAACGACGATGCGATCTCAGCCCTCACTCCACCGGCCACGTATCACAAGGTGTATTACGTTCTCCAACTTCTGGCGCGCTTCCTCCGATCGCTACCATTCAGTAGAGGTGTGGTCCACGGGTTGGGCTCATGATCGAGGGGCCTGGTTTGGGTCTCCGTCACGGTACACCACTGGCCCTAGTTTTCGCAACGGCGTGGCGCCGCTGGTGATGTCTTAACACGAGCCAGTCGTCAACGTAACGATAGAGCAAGACTGACGCTTACTTGAAACCTCGCACAACCACCCTGTCGTAGTCCACGGTGCTCTTGAACCTGTCAAACAACTTCTTGCGCCCCAAACGGTACTTATCAGCTTCCCATTCCATCTCCTTCCGAGCCTGTGAGTGGGAAAAATGTGCCTGAATAGGGAATCCTCTATGAGAAGACGGAGACGCTGATAACAAATTTCATGGAGGTAGGCCTGAAAGAAATGAAGCGGTAGAAGCTAACCTTGTTTGTCATAATTGTGTGGCGAAAGAACGCTGTAAATTTTTCCTGTGGATGCATTCGAAATTGAATTTTCAACTCGACGAAGCTCAAGACAAGTTGAAATCAGTGAGAAGACGACAAAGTCCGACGAAAACAGTTTTTGTGCTAAATAAACAAACAAAAAACCTTCCAAACGTCTCCACGTCCTCAGCTCCATCTCCATGCCCCTGCCCGGCCACTGACCGTCTCGAGGTTCTCCTCAGCTCTGCGTTGCTGCTCTGCCCTGATCCGTTCGTCCAGCAGCAGGTCTTCATGGCTGAGGGCTACCTCTTTCGGCAGAGCCTGATTCCTGAACGGCACCGGTGGCAACAGTCAACTGAACCATGCAGGACGCTAAGCTTGTTTGGAACGCCATAAAAGGTAAGCCCTGTCACAGCACAAATCGTGCTCGATGACTCCAGCACCGAGGAAGTGCACACTTAGCAAAATAGCCTGCTGGTCGCTGCAGCAATCCATGTCACACTTTATGTCGGCGCACTTCATGACGAAGCAGCTGAAGCACTCACAGGTTCAAAGCATCACCATGGCATAGTCTTCCAAGCGATCCATCGCACTCCTCTGCCAAACCAGCCTGTACTGTTCACCTGACTGCCAGCTAAGGACTCGCGTCAGCCGGCTATGACAGGGTGTCTCCACCAGGTGGCAGGTCGGTCGCGACCCCGGCACGGCAGCGCCGTCCTGTGGAGGACAGGCCGCACACTCCGTCCGCTCGGACATCCCCGCCCGGCCCTGGTGCGGGGCGCGACAGCTGACCCGACAAGGCCCGGTCGCCGACTCACTGGACGATCCACTGCTTGAAGTCGCGCCGCAGCTCGGCCAGCTCGGTCTTGACGGCCGCCTTACGCTGCTCAGCCAGCTGCAGCCGGGCGTCACGCGCCGACCGCTGCCGCTGCTCCTCCAGACTGTACGACTGCGGGTCGTCGATTTCGTCCACCCGCTCCTCCGGCTGATGGGACCAGACACCGGGCCCCGGTCAGCGGGACACGCGAGCGCACGAGCGACTGACGGGACCACATACCGGGCCACGGTCAGCGGGACACACGAGCACACGAGCGACTGACGGGACCACACACTGAGTTCCGGTCAGCGGGACACACGAGCGCACGAGTGACTGACGGGACCACATACCGGGCCCCGGTCAGCGGGACACACGAGCGCACGAGCGGCTGACGGGACCACACACCGGGCACCGGCCAACGGGATACGCCAGCACATGAGCGGCTGACGGCACCACACACCGGGCACCGGCCAACGGGATACGCCAGCACATGAGCGGCTGACGGGACCACACACTGGGCCCTGGTCAGCGGGATACGCCAGCACATGAGCGGCTGACGGGACCATATACTGGGCCCTGGTCAGCGGGTCACACGAGCGCACGAGGGATCCACGATTACCCCGATCGTGACAGTGCACATGTGTTGAATCACTTTTTTGCCTAGAGGGCAAGGTCTGTCCATCTTCAACAGCATTCTGGAAAAAACCGCTTGTCGTGGTGTCCCTGGGTCACGTAACATACCCTGGTGTACCTGCTGTCTGTAGATACTATATTGCTATGGGGCATCAAACGAAAAACAATACACATCTGTTCACATCATCTCAGCCGATACCGTACCGCCTCTTTACATTGTGGAATTTTTATGAGCCGTCAAGTTATCAGAGCGCGAGTCGCCTGGAGCATCAGCCCATTACTTGATTGGAGATGGTGGTGATCCGCCTGCAGTGTGGCCGCAGCCGCTCATCATCGTGGGCACTAGTTACCAGGATCATGGTCGGCAATGCCAAATATGATTGCGGGTTCAGCAGTAATGTTTTACGTTTTGAGGGCATGCTTTCCGGACATCGCCGTGACTTATTACCAAATCCGATGCAACTGAATCGCTCGTAATCATAATCTCCATGCAGTGCCCTGCAATGTTGATTCTTACATATCCGTCCACCTGGCAGCAATCAGTGCCACAATGCACGCCAGCACGCGGTTACGGCCGACCAGCCGCCGCCTCCCGATCCATCGACCAAACGGCGCGGCCGGGCGGGCCGAGGGCGGGCCGGGGGAGGAGGGAGACCGGTGGCGTGAGGTGGGAGCTGGCACGTCTACCTCGGCCGACACTCACCGGGCCGACCAGGGCGATCCTGGACGAGCGGGGCCGCGCCATGCCCTCCGGCGGATTGAAGTCGAACAGGAACACGTTGCCGTCCGCCCCGCATGTGATGACGTTCCTGAAAGCGTGCGACGCACTGCCCTTGTACGAATTCTAGTTTGCCTATGGTGCTCACTGTACGACAGAGCAGTTCATGTCAATTATCTGAGGACACAGCTCTCGTGGTTTACGAGACGACTTATGAAATCAACTAAACGCATTTTCGATCAACGTATGCCTTGCAAGCGTCGATTATTAACACGGGCTCATCATAAGACAAAAATAAACTGGTTGCAGGATGTCACATCTCAGGCAGTCTTTCCGTGCAATCTTACATGATTTGCTTTTATTTAGAGCAGTGCGATCCTACATGATATGTTCTCATTCTGAGTGGCATCCAGTGCACGGCTACATGCGGCGCAATTGTGATGATGCCAAAAATGTTGCCACTGTTGTCTACTCGAGAGTGTTGAGCCCGACGTCCATCAGCCATTGAGCCACAAAGCGGCAGTGACGGCTCACCTCTGGTCGTAGGTAAACTGGATATCGGTGATCCTGCCGTACGTGTTATCGTGCATGGAGAGCACCCAGTAGTCGTCCAGGTACCAGGGATTGTCCGGCTGCACCGCGTGCACCCGAATCCGGCCGTCGCAGAGGCCCAGCAGCAGGTACTGACCGTCGGGGCTGTAGACAGGGTAGCGGACGGCAGCTGTGATGTCGGCGCCCGCAGGCGACAGCGGTCAGGGAAAGTCGACAAACACGTCACGCAATGCTGTGCTGCAGAAAAACACACGCAGGAACCGGCCCGAAACCTTTTTGCAAACGCATCCGCCCTTTCAGAAAAGGGATTACTTCGATCAGTTTTTTTCCACCCCCACAGAATACTTTCAGGCATCAGAGTGTCCACAGTAGTTATGTGCGTTACCCATAACTCAGAAATAAGCCAACAGTCACATACTACTTGCCTACGTTCTTCTCAGCGAATCAGCACAGTGCAGCGCATGAAGTCACAATGCTGTACAAGCCTTACCCGGCCTTAACCGGCCTCCAGCCCGGCGTAGCTCCATACCCTGATAGTTGTCAACTGACGCATGCCGAGCCGCTGCAGGGGTCAGCGCCGCCACCAACGCCGGCTTCGCCGAGCCGACCTGGTCTGAGCGCCGCCCAGTCAGCGGATGTCACAGCTCCTGTCCGAGCTGGCCCAGACCCGGCCCCGGCCGCCCCACCGGCCCTCTATAGCGCTTCCCCCCCCCCCCTCTCACCACGTGGCGCCTCAACGTCGACACTGACCTGAAGCGGCGTACGCTGACGCCGACGTCCGAGGCGCCGGGAACGCGCACGGCCGAGGGGCGAGCCTCGCGGAAAGCGGCCGAGTGCACCCAGCCAGCGTCCCAGCCATCCATCAGCAGTGTGAAGCTGCCGTCGCCGGCCGGCACGCCCACCAGCACGGCCGACGGCGGCTCCGGCACCACCAGCGGGATCTCCGGGATGTCGCGGTCCTCCGCCGCCAGCCGCTTCTCCAGCTTGTCTGAAGACGGCCGCAGGAGGGGAGTCAAGGCACATCAGCGGCAGGCTGGCACACAAACCGAACAGGTTCCAACGCCCACGGCCCTAAAGAAGCGAAACTGAATGATGGGTGAGACTGATCGCGCGATTATAACTCTATTCTGCCAGATAATGGTGATACAATAAAGTGTCACAGTGACGGCAGCACAGCCACGACAAGATAAGACTGAACGAGTTATTTCCGATTCGACCGTCACCAACCCGATCGTCACCAATCCGATCGTCGTAAAAAATTATCACTAAATAGGACGTATTTACGAGAAGCCATCAGGACGGGATGTCTATTTATATTATCTAAGCATTCTACCTTCCCAAACGTCGATTCGTCTTACAGCTATTTCTGCTAAAATGTCATCAATGGCTCACAAGAGTTGATTACCATAAAAGTCTAGTCTGGGAAATATTTGATAGCCGTGACTGTGTAGCCGTGACTGCATGGCCCTGACTGCATAGCTGCTGAAATAACTATTTAACAAATGGTGCAAAAACAAAACTTAAGGCAAGATATCGCTCATGAAAATAACGTGGGCAAAATTTGTTAGCACGTATTTAGGATCAGGGTGTTCTCCTGGCCCTCGGCTCAGCCATGCGTCCGTCATTTACAAAAATCGACGCGCTTGCATGAGAAAGAACATCGACCCAAAGTTCAATGAAGCCAAGTAGCGGAGTCTGTTTTCGGCATACCTCATCCTTTTGGTGGAGCAGTCCGGAACTGTTTCATCGAAATCACACGAACTCCTTTATGATAGCGAAGTGAACTCCGACGCGTTTAACGAATTTTCATCTCCCGGAGAACAAACTGAACCCGTAATAACGCCGTTACTGCGTAGCCGTCCTGCCCCGTAAACTACTAGAGTACAAAGATCAACTTCCTCCCTCACTGGCAACGCGAGCACAGACAGTTACTACTGCACGCTGCGGATCCACACCAAGCAAACCCACCCTGACTGCTGCGTCATGCCCCACCGCCACCGCCCAGCAGTGCAGCACCCGACCACGTGACTGCCGGGCCGAGCTGGGCTCGTCCAGCACACCTACCTTTCTCCACCTCCTCTTCTACCTCGACGCCGACCTTCTTGCGCTCGTCGATGTCCTCCTGCAGCGCTGTCCGCTGTTTTTGTTTCTCCTCCTCGCGGGCGATACGCGCTTCCTCCTGCAGGATCTCCGATTTCACCTGACAGCGGAGCGCCCCGGCGTCGATCTCACGCGGCGCGGGGTGCAGCCAGCCCGGGCGTTTTGGGGGGTGGGCGTGAAATAGCTGGCAACAAGGACATCTATCGAAGTTAAGTGAGGACTCGGTGTCCTGTCAAACGCTTAGTAGATTCGCAAGTTTGCGCTGACTGGGACTGCCAGTGTTTATCCGGGGTCCAGACCGGGGAACCGGATATCGTGATGCACCTGCGTCATGCTTCCAACGCGTGCGAGCAGATAAAACCAGGGTAAAATAGTGGGGTGCCATTTTGAATACATTTCTACGAATGCATTTAGTACGGCGCTCGAAAGCGGGTGCCCACTTTTGCAGGCTGTTAAAACGCATCATGCAGTGAAGTATGCGAGCTGTCTGAACGTGTCACCAAAAATGCACCTGGCTTACACAAAACACGCGACAAGAAGCTCATTTGGACACATTTTAAACGTCAACATCTGGTCAACACTGTTAACAGCACGGTAGCACTCGAAGTTCAGTAGCCAACACGCGGCCAGCTAATCAGAATAAACAACTCAACGGGTCACCGCACACTTATTGGCGAGGCTTTGGCTCTGTGGGACTTTGATTTCGTTGACAATAAATTTTTATCAACATGAAGCATTCCAAGCTTGCAAATATAAAATGGCAAAAGCGACCAAAACAGCGTTATGGCAAGGTCTACCGCAAAAAATGTTTGCAGAGACGGGTATACACAACCGAAGCATATCATGTGGAAGGGGGCACGTTTGCGTTACTAATGAGCAAGACGGTCGATGAAAACAGTCAGCACAAATCTACAGTTTTAACCCGGAATCCGGGCCATTGAGGAAGACATTCACACAACGGGGTTTGCGGTGGGAACGGTACACACCTCATCTGGCTACACGGGTGCGAATTATAATTTTGAAATGGCTGAGCATACTTAACCACTGTCTACGCGCTTTGCACAGTACCCCCGCACAAGTAAGCGATCGATTGTTCAGATGCATTTTGAATGTGCAGTGATGTACACAATTTGGTGTGCTGCCAGGTATCTCGCGCCGTCCTGCCCTGCGGCACTGACCGTCTTGAAGATCCAGCTGCGGCCGCGCACGCCCTTGATGCCGTAGGTGGAGTGGTCGGTGAGGTCCTTCACCCCCGGCGTTCGCATCTCGACCACCCGACCACGGCCCGTGAACAGCGTGAACTTCTTCTGCACAGTGAGTAACAGTGATATAAAAGCGCAGCTCTGATAAATATCTCACTTCAAGTGACAGAAACAATTGTGTAAGAAAACTGACATCGCTTGCGAGAACCGTTAAACGTACGCATCAGTTGCTCATTCTCAGCCTAGCAGAGCTTTACAAAGAAGGTTATTCAACCGATCCAGAAACTGCCATATAAGTTCAAGCGCATTTCTTTCTTAAACGGTCTCCACACAGAAAGGTACTTGGCCTTTTTTAAAAAACACACTAGAATGCACCCTGATCTCGAACATCATAAAGATGTTGCTATTAACCGCGAACAACATGGCAGAAGCAAAAGCGTACCAAGGCCACGGGTACGACACGAATCAGCAAATCTAAACATGGAAATAATATCAGCCTGACTCTGAGAAGACCAACACAACAAAACACTCACGCAATCTTAATTGTAACGCTTGATTTGCAACATTAACACGCGCCCGGGTGGCCGGCTGGATACCCTTCGCTCGGGTGGGGGTCAATTTAAGCCCCCTAAGGTCTCAGGAACTAAGAGAGCCAGAGGCACCAAATTCACAGGTTGTGTTGACCTGTACATGAAATCACTTAGGTCAAAGTTTGAGGTTCCTAGGTTGTGACCTGTAGGTCAAATAAAGTCAAACAAGGTCAAATTGCAGATTGGTCTCCAAAGGGCGCCTAGAACCTAGACCACCTGGTCATCGCAAAAGGTCACATGCTCATTCAAGATCAGGGACCTTGATTGACCTTTTGAAGTTCATGGTAACCAAAAGCATACAAGACTGCATAAAGTTTTGAATTTGAACAAGCAATGAATATTACACTAGGCAGCATGTTTTTAAAAAACAAAATGTTGACCTGGGTCATTTTGGGTCAGTGGCCTATTCTGACCTTAAATACGTCCATCGAAGGTGTATAATGCGGTTTCTGTTATCAACACATTCGAAATGCGCTCCAGGAACTATCTCATACATCAAACCCTAGAGTGATAAATCAGGTTAGTTTTGACCTTGATATGACCTCCATACCTGGCCCTGGGTCCATTTAATATGTTCATTCAATTTTTGTCTTGCCTAAGAGAGTATCTCAGAGATGCATGGCTTTGTCTAATAATCCGTTGTTGGATCAGATTGAGCGATTCCCTAGAAATTGCCTTCGGTGAAACCATGGCCTGAATTTGACCTGTCATAGGTCAGCGGCCTTACAAGGTACATCTCAATTTTTTCTGTTAGACGATCTGCTGTTCAATTGCCTGCAGCCATGCAAAATTTGGTGCGGCTATGCCGCGGCGTTCAGAAACCATTCTAGAAAAACTTTCGGGGGGTCAATTTGACCCCACCGAGCGCGTGTTAGTGGAATGATCCATTAAATGAATCAATTATGACTGATTTAACATCATTGCACAGTTGGAGAGCAATGGCTCAGCCGTGATCAGCCTAGGATATCAGACGCCCCGGAGTGCCGCGGCCGCGCCGACTGACTGCGCGCCGCCAGGTGGCCGTGCCTCTCGGCGCGGCGGCTGGCCAGCGGCCCGTCACCTGCCTCGCTGCCGGGCACGAACTCCAGGCACGTGACTGTCTCGCCCGGCTCGCCGTACCGGGAGAACCCGAGCGGCGCCACCACAAACTTCTCCTCCTCCATCAGCAGCGAGAAGAACCAGACGGTGCCGTCGTCCGAGGCAGTCACCAGCATCCGACCTGCGGCGGCCGTACAGACGATGCTGTAGGCGGCTCGAATGCCGACGATGGCCAGCTTTGGGCGCTGACCGCGCGCCCATGTGGCCAACGTTCGGCGGGTGGCAAGCGACGGGCGCGCGAGAGCGACCACGTGTCAGGAAATAATGCACACTGTAGTAATATGTAGTAATGTAAAATAAAAATAACACAAAAAGCCAAGTAGTAATAAAGTAAATAATCAGACAATTTTAGCATTACACTGCACCGTTCAAAAGTTCGGTTGGGGTATTTCACCTGTATTATTTTGGGTTCATTCTCCGAACGGATTAGCAGTTACAGCAACACGCACAATAGAGATTTCATGGTTGCATAGTTAAGGATAATGAAAATGTTAATCCGCTCCTAGCATCAATCTGAAAACGACACAGGCGACGTTTACGGTCCGGAATGCCTCTGCCATATGCGACTTGATTTCATAAGTGTTCTAGAATGTTGTTTTCCAATACGTCGCCGTTCTCGCTCATCCGTGGACCGAGTCTAGTATTAGCTGGGGTGACTGAAGCTGCGCAACCTAGGACGCTGCAACGTCGGGACATAGTGTTTTTGCTCGCAGACTGCAAGAACACATGTCCAAATAGTTTATGTAATCTTTGTTACTAATTGGCTCTGAAGAAGCGATAAACACCTCTAGACGAACTTAGGTTGGACGTACAAAAACAATTTTTACGTTTCTATATGCATTGTTGTTCAATTCAGGTGGATCCTCAATACATCTATCTGTACTACGTCGGGAAAAAATGCCGGCAACAACTCTGACCGCTACGGTTTTAAAGCGTCCTTTGCCCTTTCCCAAGACTCTGGTTGCGCCTCTGGAGGAAAACTCATTCTTATCCCATCCAGAATTGCGCAGAACGAAAAAGCAGGTTGGCCATTGCCCTGTAAACGATTGGCTGCTCTTCCTGCCATGGTTTTACCGTCAATTTTGTGGTGATTCCCATATCAAGATAATTTTGCAAGAGCCTGCTGGTCAAACAGAGCTGGCAGTCCTTTATCACGCCAGACAGTATCACGCAATGTCCAGCCGTACTAAACGTCCCCTTCGTCGGTTCCCGTAATGGCACCCACACACTCTGAGATCATTATGCCAACGTTACAGCTGTATTCGAACATGGGCAATACAAAGTCCAAAAGACTTGCATGCAGAATAAAATTTTACATTTCAGGTGACTCTGACTTTAGCCATTTAAGCGGATGCTTTGGTAAGTTCTCCGTTAGCAGCGGCAGTTGCGCCTCACCTGAGGGACTCTGCTTGATGACGGTGATGGCGGCCGTGTGGGGCTTCTGGACGAACATCAGACTCATGCCATAGCTGCCCTTTTTGGTGCCGGCGTGCAGCTCTAGCAGCCGGATGCAGCCGTCGGCAAAGCCACCCAGTATCATGCAGGTTTGTTTGCACACCTAGGGAACCGCCGGTCAGTTCGTCGACACGCAGCATAGTGAGACAGAGACAAGGTACCCTGCAGCCCCTCAGGGTATTGCGCAAGCTAGGCAGTGTGGCGGTCGCCTGTCACACTTCCCTGTTAGACCAATTCAGATCCGTGAAACATCCAATGTGCATGTGTACATGGAACAACGAAGTGATCCTAACGGCTGTTGCCCGCGGTTCAGATGCACAGTTTCAGACGGACGACAGCTTCACTCACCGCCAGATATACGCCGAGTCACAGCGCACAGGCAAACGCGAATTGCCATATCACGCCCACAAGTTAGCCTACACATGCGACTATTATTACGTTGATAGCATCGCTCATGTCCGTATTTGTCTGGTCTTTCAAGGCCTTGGAAGCTGTTATTCACGCCGGTAAACGCGTGGTCTCTGTGTCTCAGTATCAGACAGTCCAGCCCAGCGACCGCACCTCCTGTGTGAGCCAGATGAGTGAGTTACCCCCGGCTGGGTGGCGGTTGCGGGCCAGCAGGTCCCGAGTCCGGTAGTTAAAGACGCTGACGTGGCCGTCGTCACCTGGGAAGGGCAGCACGGTCGCGGAGCAGCGTGAAAAAGTGCGAGTGGGTGCGAGATCCCACTTGGCGTACAATCGATGCGGCTTCAGTTCAGACATCCCAACACGCTGCCCGGCGCAAGGGACCACCGTAACAGCCATTCAAAGTGTTACAGTTTTAATTGGAACATGGCGTTACCTGACCACGGTAGGAATCACTGCAAAGCTAACTCTCGCGAAAGCAAGCAGAAAGTGTTTCCCACTGAAACTTCAAGTGGAATGATAAACATGAATAAGTTGGACACGGATATGTGGGATGTGGAGATATCCACCACCATGGCCGGATTCTGTCTATAAATGACGGCGAGACAGAAGTCTCGAAATTGACCGCTGCGTACGGAAAATGCTGCAAAGGCTGTCCGCACCTACTATCAACCCTGAGTTTTGTCTCGGATCTCGAAAAGAAACAAGGGAATCATCATCATGACTATTGACTCAGCTTTGGCAGGTCTGTGGTAGACCAAGTTTGCTGAGCCAACAGAGCGCACATTTGCCGTACGAAGTCGACCGCAGCACGGTGACTTACCAGTGACGGCCATGAGCGTGCCGACGGGACAGGTGGCCAGCGCCCGGGCGGGCCCGGCCGGACACTCGTACAGCCGCTCCGGACCCTTGCTCGTCATCGAAAAGCTCAGGTCGGCCCGCCAGATGCCGCCACACGCGTCCTGTGCCAGGCGGCCGGCAGGTGACGGACGGTCGGGACGAGGCCCAGTAGGGCGTACCACGCAGCAGACGGGTCTTACCGCCTCTGTACACTCAACGCGAGGAGAGTTAACGGTTGGCAGCGATGCATTTGGTATCACTTGCTCGATTTCTGACCAGAGACGGCCAGCTTGCCCTTCACAAGCAGTGGGTACACATGTACAGCCCAGGCACCGAGCTGACACTGACGCTCGGCAACAGGACAAGCAGACGCGGCAGCGATCTCGACCACCGGGCGGACACCTGTAGAGCGGTCAGCGACTGACCTGCATGAACCAGATGCTCTCCATCTCTGGGTCGGGGTGCGGCCACATGGAGAAGAGGCTGCTGTGAGGGGAGAAGCGCAGCTCGTTCATCGGATCGAGTGCAAACTTGCCGGCCATCTCCTCCGGCGCCTCTGCTTGGTCCACCGTGTCAAAGTCCCATGTGCGCACCCAGCCATCACTGCCTGCACAGTGGCGTGACGTCATAACGTGAAACGTGACGTCATGATGCGAAACAATCCCGACGGCATTGGCGGTGGACACGTTGGCTATGGTGGTGCTCGGTGGTGGGCAAAATGTGGTGCACTTCGGAGTTGCGGATCTGCAGTTACCGGGGCCTACGAAAATGCCTCTCAGTCTCGGTCCCGGTCTCCACCTCCGTCTTCGTCTTTGGCTCTGCCCCCGTCTCTATCTCTGTCTCCGTCAGAGGCAGAGACTGTTGTATCAGCGTCCACGCTGAGCAGTGGTTGTTGTGAACCCTGATCCCATAATTTGATCGTGAAATTCCGGGTCAACGGCAGAGTTTTGCGACACAAGCTTAGCGTTCCCGAATTCTCCGTACGGTTCGTTCTCTCTGACGTCACCTAGCCTTCAGTGTGGCCGCTGTCATTAGCCGCAGGCCACATCAGAACCACCCAACCACTTGCGGGTAAATCGGGAGGCGGGCGCTTTAACCAACTGAGCTATCGGGAAGATGCCTGAATGAATCGCACAAGTGTGATTTGGGTGGGCCTCAACACTATCTGCCGAGTTTGATTTAGATGCACCGACAAGGCATGATCAAAGGCTTTATATTGGATGGCACCGTATACACATGATTGCGATCAAGAGCCACGCATTTCATTCAATAATAGATCACCCACAGTATATTATGTGACACCACGTTACTCATACGGATTGGAGGGGCAGATGTCATACAACACGCGGCTTCGCAACGTATGCATTGATTTATGTCATTTAATCCCGGCGCCATTACGCAGCCAAACGCAGCAACACACAGGCCTTGGCCGATGCGCAAAAATGTAGCCACTTTTATTCAGTTTTTGAAAAGAGACACCTGTTTCCATCCAGTTTAAGTTCGAGTATTAGGTGGTTTAGCACCTAATGCAACGGTGCTTTAGGTACTTTAACACCTAATGCAAAGCAACGCAAATGGGCTTGACCTGAACCTACCTAGTGTTATCAATTCTCCTTCTTCAAGGTAAAACTTGTGGATGGTTCCGTTATGACAAGGCTTGTTGTCTCTCCTCGTTATCTCCACCTTGATCAAGGCATCGTCCCAAACGAGAATGTTGCCCCATTCACAACCAGACACCACCTGAAAGAATTAGTTTCATGTCAGCGACAGAGGTCAACAGCTGATTCCCTCTCGCCAAAAGGCGTTGCTTCAGAGCCGTGTTGTTATAAGACAAGACGGGGACGTAAGGCAAGGCAAGAGACCATACGCAAGCAAAATACAAAGGCAAGCTGGATCCATTCCACTATGCCAGCGCGTCACGTGGTCTCGCAACGGACAGCTTATTGGGTTCGCGAGACTGCCGTTCAATTCATAGCTCGCGTTCGATGGCAACGCAAACCCAAAGGTGCGTTTGATGTACATTTAGCAAGAAGAACATGCATCCTAGTTTTCCTTATAAAAATGAGCCCCTTGCCAGAGAATCTACCCGTTATGATGCCGGAACTATAGCTATACCGTGAGCGTGCATCAAGAAAGCAAGGCCGCATTTGTCCGTCAACAGAACACCGCGGCGTCCTGATCGCGCGTCCCCCCCCCCCGCGGCCACAGCCATCCGGAGGGGACGGCACCAGGCTGACGCAACACTTTCCGCCCCACCCCGGCACCGACTGTGATTGGTCGCCTACCGCCGCAAGGCAAATGGCGCCCAGCTGCCGAGCCCCTGGGCACGGACAGACGGGCCCACACTGGTCAACAAGCGGCTGGCGGCCTCATAGACCTGCAGCACATTGCTAGTAGTTGTGACGCGCTGTGGCTGCGGCTGACGATAGTCAAAATCGCCGTTTGTTTTGTTCAATCACAGCAATTTTAGCCTGAAGGTGAGTGGTCTTCTAAATGAGCCAGGAACGGAACTGGAAAGAACGTAACCATGAACGTAAAAGGTAGCAATTATCTCGATTATTCGACGACAGCCAAACTGAAGCCTGCATAGTGCGCTGTGCAATTATTTGGCTCTGTGTGCCGAAATGTTGAAGCGGAGCCAGTTTTAAAAGATGCCCTATCGGGCCTTGCGTGTCCTCGTGAAGATAGCGCGAGCGAGCATCTAACCGGCAACTGTCGTGAACTTCATGGTTGAGTTGGGAAGGCAAACATATCTCAATATTTAAGGAAATCATGTTTTCTTCATCATTCACGTTGCATCCAGCTGAAAAATCAATGTTTTATCCTTCGCATCGTGATCTACATGCTGTACTTTTGCGCCTAGCGAATTTCATTACACAGTGCGCATGCGCCGAGGACTTACCAATGGATGTGACAAAAACAGCTTGTAGCATATAAGTTTCCCCCCTGCTGACACCGCTTCTTGTGCTTGACCCTCTTAACACTGTTCCCTGTGTTGGCCTTTGATGGCACTAGTCCCTGTGTTGGCCCTTGTTGGCACCGCCCCCTGCGTTGGTCCTTGCTGGCATTGCTTTGTTGGCTTCCTGTTTGTCCCTGATGGCACTGCTCCCTGAGCTGGTTCCTACTGGCACCGCCCCCTGTGTTGGTCCCTGCTGGGACTATTCCGTGTGTTGGTCCCTGCTGGCGCTGTTCGCTGTGTTGGTCCCCGCTGACACCACTTGATACGCTCGCTTCTGGAATTCCATTTGTCCGTGCTGACACTCCTTCCTGGGTCCGTCCCCGACGATACAATTTTCTGTGTGCACCCACTATGACAGCCGAGCCTGCGTCATAACCACCGCTCATTGTTCTGAGCTAAGCGAATACAGCACAATAGGTACAAACACGCTCCGCTCCTCTCTCGCAGCCCCACGCCTGACACCGCTGTGTTCTCGGGCAGACATGTCGACTGTGCGCCTGTTCAGCGCGGCGACCCTCCGGCGCCATTACGCCCTGCTGCCTCTGGTCGGCATGCTGGCCGCGGCCGTGACCGGTGCCGTGGCCTTCTCCGTGCGGACGGCGGTCAGGGCGCCGGAGGCGGCGTACCGCAGGTCCGACGCTGCGCCATGGGAGAGCTACCGCCATCGGAGCTACAAACTATACAACCCCAGCGGCCTGCGTCGTGACCAGTGCCCGGCGCCAAGGTTTTGAAAGGTACGGCCACCGTCACTCATCTGTGGGTGTTGTGGAGGTGTGGAACTATGTGCAACCTAGGTCATGTTCGGCTGTTTTGGTGTCATCATGTCGCTACTTAAGTCAAATTCCCAGATCTCTGAACATCCTATTGGCAGTTTTACAGTGCGCTTTTCATACCTTTTTCTTTAGCATACTTGTATTTATAAACACAGGCACATACACGCACGTCTTAATCAAAAATCGTGTCACTGAGAAGTCCACGGGAACTTAACTGTCCGGACCTTCAAATCAACACCCAGACGCCAGCAGCATGCTGTACTATCGGCCATCAACAGGCGGCACGTTTTCTGAAGCGCGCATTCGCGCAGCTCTAACGGCGCTCGTCTTCTTCGTTCGCAGCTCACGTGCGGCGCCGTCGCCGCGTGGTGGTCGCCGAGGGCGACCAGCGTCTCGGCGGGAATCGACGCCGGCGTGATTGTCTTCGCCCATCGTCCGTTGCGATTGTCCAGGACCCCAGTTGTCCGACGTGACTTGCTCAGACCATTTCATTGTCACAAACGAATTGTCTGCGCATAGGCATTGCATTGTGTTTGGTTAACGTTGCGTTCCATTGCGTTTGGTAAAGCACAAAGCCCAGACTGTGGATCACTGTATGTATCGTGTGAAATTAGTTGCCGACAGATGTCAAATTTGCAGAAATGTGTAGAATGGTTCGGGAATTCAATTGCTTTGTAAAACTGTATTGTAAATTGTATTGTGTGACGTTGCACTGCATGGTAGATTTGCCTTGTTTTGTATCTTTGTTCTAGTATTCATGTAATGCTTTATTTGATTTTAAAAATAAAGCTCAAAAGCACCGTATGAGTTCCTAGTGGGGTTAAGCAGCACACAGACTCGGTAGTAAACATTTTCAAATGTGCATTTGTGTGGGTGCCATATCCTAGACAAGAGCTACAGTTCAGAACAGTTGTAAGGAGCCCATGCAGCTAGCTGGCTCACATTCGCAAAGACATGGTCTTTGCAAAATGCCTCAAAACACGCTGAATGTTTGCATGGAAATATTCATTGAAAGCACTGCTAGTGGACGTGTTACCTCGGGTCATACAGCTTTTCAGCATGTGCGCAATTTGCATCCACACAAAGGTGGACGTGGGAGGGAGGGTGTACTGCGACATCACGTTACTTCGTGCACTGTTATGTGCCTGATAATTCCCTTCTTCTAAAATTGTACGCGTGGTTGTTGACAATGGGATGAAAACCATTACTGGACAGGTTATACCGACCTGAACTTGTTTATATAGTTCAGTGATATTCTCAGCGCCCCTGTGGTGCCGGCAGTCACGTGCTGCTGCTAAGTTTCAATCCTATTGTGGTTAGAACCACTTTGTTCTCCAAGCGGTCGCGGCTGGGGATAGAAACATCTCACGGGCTGCTAGGATAATGTCGTCATAACGCACGAATACATATCCTAATCAAAGCATTCAGTGGCTATATGCTATATGAAATAAGCAGCAAGTCGTCATGCCTAACATCAGCATTGTATGTTGCACATGACCTAGGCGTGCCATCGATCACGATTTCCATGCAACACGTAATCGGCGAGGAATTTTTATCCAAATTCAAGTCGTCTTTGGACTCGGCCAGCGTGGTATGCGGCAGCAATCTCACGCCGCTGCGTTAATGGACATTATGGACGCTAATGGATGTTATGGACATTATGGAGTGGCCTGATTAAGATGCGCTATAGGTACTCTGTTGGAAACGACAGTCGAGCACCTAGGTTGGCCTATTTCTTGTTTCAGTTGTTCAAGTTCAGTTCAGGTCAGTTCATTGCTTGCTGAGTGGATGAGTGGAAGACGTGGGGACGTGTGGAGCCGGTACACACCTGCGGCTTCCTCGTCTGTGCGTACTCACCGAGATTGACGGCATGCCGTGCGACGTTAACGTGGACGCCATGATGTGTGACGCAGCAGCGGTGGGAAAAGCTTCTGATTTATCGGATATGATCCGTGACAAAACCGACACTTGCGAGCCAATTGGTGACAAAATTGTGGAAATGGAAACAAATTACAACAAACCATACCATATTACAACAGACCATCCCAGCTAGACGAAACCCATATTGGTGTGTGGCTTAGTACTGATCAGTACTCTCCAAGGCTTGTAACGTGATCATGTGTAGAGCACACGTCAGAAGCTTCACGTTTCGCGGTACAAGCAAGTTAAGCCACAGAATGCTGTCAAACATAGCAGCTTTAATCAGTATAGTTTTTAGCAGGTGACAAAAAGGTATTACAAACTATGCAGTATATCAGTGCTGACGTCACAGATCAGTGGTGACCCAGCGCTTTTCCGATGCAACTCAGACAACTGCCTTTCACAGATTTTCCAACTAAGACTTACTTCATATGCCGAACAGCATAAAACAGCAAATAACTAGGCTTATTACTAGTTGTAAAGTTGTGGCTGGCAGCGGTGTGTTGCCATGAACGCGACGAGCCTGTGACGCGAGTTTTAAACCGTCGTGCCATTTGAGACAGATGGGCTGGAATGCGCGCCACGCGGTAATGAAGTGGGTCCAATGCAAGGCTGTGGGCTGCTGGTTGGTTGTGTCCATGTCGTGAGAAGCTGGCTGGCCTGAAGAACGTAGCCAATCGTCAGCTTTGTGAGGCGCTCTGCGGCTTTTCTAAGGACCTACCACGGAGCGCGTCCCTGGTAATGGCGTTACTGGCCACATCCCTGCCGATCTAGGAGGCTTGTTTGTAAAAAAAGAATCGGACCTATAGCTTCAGAGGTCAACGGATGACGTCGAAGCGCCAGATGTCAAGGATTCATTCGGGGCTTTCCGCTGCTAAGAAGAACGACGGCCGTGAGATAAGATGCCGAGCATCACTGGTGTATGCCACTTACACTGCCGGTCGCGCCTCAGACTCAGCGTTCTGGCCGGTGGGCAGGCGTGAGATAAAACTCCTTCATTTTCATTATATTGTATACCAATATTGCATGGGTTTCGCACTAATTAGTTGGGATTATGTTCGGAAGTACGAGTTCTGCGCCGGTTATGATTATGGAAAGAAAGTGAAAGTCACCGATGCTTTCAGCTGATTGTACGATGACGTTACGGAACCAAAAGTAGCATTGTTTCAGGTGCCCGCAGAAGCATGTTGTCGGTTAATGTAGAGCTACGGAGATGCAGTTTTGCAAAATGCGTAGGGGTGAGTCTGCCTCCGAAATGCACTTAAAGCAGTTTTTACTCAGATTTCACGCACTTTTTCAGAGTTGGGAGAAGGAGTGTGTGCCCCAAACGTAGTTTTGGGAGTGACTAAACCCTATGAATTTTGATTAATGAAAAAATGGATAAATAGGCCAAACGTGATAGCTTTGATTGCTGAAAAATAATGGAAAATGACAAAATAAAGGATACTACATCCCTGGCTACAAGATACAACTCCTCCCCCCCCCCCCCAGACTGAATAGGAAACTACGCTGTCCCAGGCTGGTTATGTTGAGTACGCCTTCATCTGATAATTGTATTAAATTAGTCTAAACCATCATGTAGTATTTGATGGCCAGCAAATGATCCTTGAGTGCTAATGAACTCGCAACAGCAAAATTGTTATGGTTACGCTGCATTAAATTTACCTTGTATTTGTTTTTGTGGTCTGTTGCATTTAGAGTAATATTGCAACGTTTTCTGAAAAATGTGACTCCAGGTGACAGTTAAGACGGCTTCAAATTTCGCCGGTGACCAAATGGCCCTTTTTCACCACAGCAACCGACGGCACTGGCGGTTCGTCGTCGTCATTTGAGCTTTACGACGCAGTCAGCGCTGAGGCTACATGGCATCGCCTGCATCACCCTGGCGGAAGGGCGGACGCTGCGGAGAATCGAACCCCGTACCTCTGGCTCCCCAGGCGCGCAATGGTGAACGCAGACGTGTTGACCACCACGCAGCGGTGTGTGCGTTAGTTATGGTGGTGCTCGGTGATGGCCGATCTGTCGAAGAATTCGGAGTTGCATCTACCGAACATCACGAAATGATATACGTTCCTCTATATTTTGATTACAATAAGGGGATGGCACCAGGCTGATGCAATACTTTCCACCTCATTCAGACACCGACTGTGATTGGTCGCCTACCGCCGCCGGGCTGCCGGAGCCCAGCTGCGACCCCCTGGGCATGGGAGGACAGGGCCGCACTGGACAAAGGCTGAGGGACGTGTCGACCTGCAGCTCGGTGCTAGTAGTTGTGACGCGCTGTGGCTGCGGCTGACGACAGTCAATATCGCCGTTTGTTTGTTCAATCACAACAATATCAGCCTGCAGGTGAGCATTTCTCGGAATGTCTCGGCGGCGTCCGTTGACTATGCTACATACAACTTCGCGTATCCCAGGGAGACAGCATGACGGCGCGTTAAATCGGCCACTGCACTAAGGGCAAAACTGTATGAACATTTCAAGAAATTGAGTTTTATGATATCTCGCGCGTTCCATGCGACAGAAAATCGATGATTTCCGTTCTCCCTAACTGCACGCTTTGTACACGCCTAAAACAAGACTTAACCAGTAAACGGACATTCAATGCGAATAAAATCAGTGGAGCTGTAGTTATTCGATACGTGAGTGTGGAAATACTAAGCGGCAGAGAAGAGTGAACTGTGCCAGAGCCAGTTTCACCACTTAAATGTGTGTGCGATGTTTCCACCTTCGCCTCGCCTGACGTGTTTCTTCCTTCGCCTTGTGATCAGATCAGATCAGATCAATGCCATCCTTCCTGTGTCTGCCATCACCAACAACCACCACTGCATGTTACGAGCTGAGGACACAGGAAACAAAGCCCAATCCGTGCCGCTGCGCCCCTCTCTCGCAGTCCCTCGCCTGACACGGCTGTGTTCTCGGGCAGACATGTCGAATGTGCGGCTGTTCAGCGCGGCGACTGCGGCGTCATTACGCCCTGCTGCCCCTCGTCGGCATGCTGCCGCGGCCGGCGCGTGACCGGTGCCGTGGCCTTCTCCGTGCGGACGGCCGTCAGGGCGCCGGAGGTGGCGTACCGCAGGTCCGACGCTGCGCCATGGGAGAGCTACCGCCATCGGAGCTACAAACTACAACCCCAGCGGCCTGCGTCGTGACCAGTGCCCGGCGCCAAGGTTTTGAAAGGTACGGCCACCGTCACTCAATCTATGGGTGTTGTGGAGGTGTGGAACTATGTGCAACTAGGTCATGTGCGGATGCTTTTGGTGTCATCATCAGCATTACTAGCACCAAGTTTGGGATCTCTGAACGTCATATTGGGAGCATTATAAAACACTTCTGTTAACTTTTCAAAAGGA